CCTGAGAGCATAAAGAGCAACAGCAAGGCAAAGGCCTTCTATTTACTATTCATTAAAAATATTAATGATTTGCATTCACCATACCTTAAATAATATATATCCAAAAACACGTGTGTTATCACATTTTCTAGAAATTAATTAAAAAAACCTCTTTTTTATATACATTTTCAAATTCCATACGAATATTCATGTTCAATCTCATTGAATCAAACAAAAATTATTCATTCCTGAACATACTTAGGCTGATTCTTCATTTTTATTAGATTAATTAAATGGAATTTCAAAAAATAAAATAAATTAATTCGCATTATATATATATTCGATCTTAATTATTAAATCTCAAGACAACAAATGAACCTAAATCTCACTTTGAAATGGAACCCACATATTTTATGTTCCATTTAAAAAACAAAACGAATATGATCATCAATAAAATAATAATGGTTAAATCGGATTTTACGAAGTGAATGTTGATAACCAAATCAGAAATTTTTATATCTATTATTTAATTTTATGTAATTTTCAATCATTAGATAATTTGATTGCAAGCACAATAATATTAGCGGCAAACAGGAGTAAAGCAATTAAATAGAGAATTAGTTTCATGTAGAATTCCCTCCTAATAATTTAATTTGTTTGCTTATCAACTCTTCTTGTTTCCCTTTATATATCTTTGTTCTAATTTTTAAGGTAATTTATACTGTATTTGCAATACCGACAATTTTTTCTCCTTAATCCAAAAGTTTCTCTTAAACAATCGCAGCAGTTTGATTAGTTTAGGCTAAAGTAGTTACAATGTTTTCTATTTATTAATTCTAATTGTAAAGCATATTGTTGTTATCTAACAAGAGTTCTTTTGATTTATTCGCCATTTTTACAAAGAATAATATTCAATTTAATTATTACTTTTTTATATTCATATAAGTCTTAAAAAATTAATATTCAATGATATAGAATTTTAATATTATCTCGTCAACATCTCCTCAATCGTAATACCTAATAACAAAATCATAGATAATATTAATTTTTTACACATTTATCATGTATTCATACTTATTCACTTAAATAATAGGTCAGGCTGAGAAATTCTCACATTTGTTTTCCTAATTAATGAATGTACATTAATTAATTTTATAAAATCTTTCTTAAATTAGTAATTCTCTAAATTGATATGTCATATAAATTCTACAATAAACAAGATTGGAACAATTTTTCAGCATTCATTTTAGATATACTGTCTATATTTTAATTTTAAATTAATAAAATCACAATAATTAATGAATTGAAACTATATATATAATTTGTTCAAAAAATGATAGTGAATCTAAATAAAATAAGAATTGAATCAGATAAACAAACTATTTTTGTTAATTATATAATTAATTTACAAATAAAAAAGGTTATTCATAAAATTTTATACATAATCTGCCGTGCAATATATTGAGCAAATCTATTTTTATGACCTCTTATCTTATCCAAGACTTTAGAATATATATTTTAATTGTTAATCAACTTAATTACTTTTGTAATATTATAATGAGGATAATAATAATCGTATTCTTCTACTTTATCGATATTTGTTTCAGAATTAAAAATTTATGTTTGAATGTCCTCTTAATTTTCTTGGGCATTATTACCTGAAGATGTAGCTGCAAATAAACATCGATGACTCACTTGCCTAGTAATCCTATTCTTAAAAACGAATTTTTGTTCTAACTGATTTTGTGGAGTTAACTGAGGAGCATGAACTGAAGTCTAATCAGGATATGATGCTTCGTCTTCATCATTTCTTTGCAAACCTAATCTAATGAGAAGCTTGTTGTCAACCACAGCAAGTGTTTTGTTCTACTCTAGAAATTATTCAAAGGCTCTTTCCTTAACCAATTAGGAATTAAACCTTCTTTTCTTTCTCTATCTCATATACATTTGCCTTTCGTGGTCAACACTGCTATTGTAAATTGAGATAACTTTATTCTTATTTTTCCTAAAGAAAACTAATGGACAATGTTTGAATTGATGATGACTAGAACATGCCTCGCAAATTATCTGATTGTTGTTGTCTCCAAATTAGGTTCCATCCAAAATTAGTCTATACTTTTCATACTACCTTGTGTCTTTCTAAAGAATATTCAAGAAATCATTTTAATTGATATAAGCTACTTAGACAAATGTTTAGGCCACCATGTCAAATTGCATCTAATCCTAAAAGAAGAATTCTCTTTCACAAACTAATTTACCACTTACATATCTTTTGATTGTCCTATCCAACAAAACTGATTTGATTTTTCCTGAGAGCACAATGTAGAGTTTCTCAGGATGATCATCCTTCTTGATTATAAATTCTTCAGGGGCATAGGTTCTTTCATGAACACAATAACATAGTTTTTTTAGTATTTCATCTGAAAGATTTGAACCTAACAATTTCGATTTCTTGAAATAACTGAAATACATTGCTATTTGAACTTCCTATTTTAATTTTGGATTCAATTGTCCCATCAATTCATCCAAATCTAATTCCTCCTCTTATTTAAATTACAAATAATATTCAATATATTTCCGAACTCTAAATTGCAATTAGGTATTTAATCCCCTCTATTTGATGTGATTGCTCACTAATCTAAGTTTAGCATTATTAAGATTTTGTTATTCAGCTAATTTGTAGAATATGCTCTAAATCATTCCCAAGGCATATCCAAATGTACCCACAACTAGAAATGTCATAAATGTTACAAGTATTTTCTCAGGTGTTGTCACAGGTACTATGTCTCCATATCCCACAGTCATTGAGGTTATGGTTACCCAATACAACGAAGTAAAGTATTTTACAAATGCATCTGATTCGTATATTCCTTGCTGATGCAGCCAAGTGTGTGAGTATCCATTATCTATTTCAAGAATGGCAAAGTAATGAAATAAACATGCACAAAAATGAGATATCAGCAAAAGCGAATAAATCAAGCAGAATAGTGAATATATTACTGCTGTCTTTTCTTTGAAATTAGAGATCTCTTCTATGACTACCATAGTCCTTCTTACCTTGGTCATGCGAATCAACATAAGGTAATTGGCAAATGAGTAGCCGAACCATGAGATTATGAAGGGTAGCACTACTGTGAGATCAAGAATGAACTCTCCTTTTACGTAATGCCAAAATATATCATGTTTGGAAGTATGTAATATTCCTCTGACATAATAGCCTTTAAAAAAATTCAAGATTAATTCGATTAAAAATATGCAACTTGGAAGAGTACTAAACAATAAGTAAGCATTTCCAATTTCTTCCTTGCCCAAATCGAATGACAACTAGAAGGGAACATACAATATATTCACAATCGTCACAAACATTAAGATGACATCCCACACAAATAGAAATTTGTCAGCAGGTAATAATACAGTTTGATTACTTTTAAGGAATGACCATAGTCTCCACCAAATTGCATTCATTAATTTGGCTTCGTACTTGATTTCACCAAACTATATTTTATTAAAATGCCTTATACCCTTGTAGGCTGATTTTCTAACAGTCGACTATATAGGTAATATTAAAATGAACTAGTTCGATCCCTAATCAGGTAAAATATATTCTTGTTCAAAATCTTAAATCTATAAATAGGGGAAAAGTGTTTCATTTTTGTGATAAAAATAGCTATTTTTTGAATAATCTTGAGAGGCTTCATTTTCCATACGCTACTTATTCTATAAATTTACTCACTGTTCTCGAACTGTTGTATTTCTTTTTCGACATTATTCATGGCTTCTAACTCAATCCTCTTGTCCTCCTGATGTTGAGCTTCTTTTATGGAAAACTAGAATAAGAATCTCGTCTTTTTTCATGTTATATTTAGATTTATAAATTGTGTTTAAAAATTAAAGCATTCCAGTCATGGAATATGTTCTAGAATATGATATAGATGTACCAATAGAAACAACCATCGCAAAAGTATTCTAGATGCAGCCATTTATGCAAAGGAGCACCATTCAGTAATTATCTTGAGGATAACTGAACAATTGGAGATTTGAAACAAGATGCTATTGCAAAGTGATGCTATTACGCGAAGAAGACGAGTTATAAAACAAATTGTAATTGGCTATATTATTGATGCTTTTCGGTTAAATAAATTGATTAAATATTTAAGAAATATAATAGATTGTTGATATTATGAGAAATACTTATTTAGTTTTTTAGCAAGGTGGATGAATATAATACTGAATAAATGATTTAAATTTATAATCTTATATTTAACTTTTGATGGTAATTGGAATAAAAGGCAATCTCGCTTATTACAACAAAATATAATTAATTCATTTATTTTATGGAGGAGGAATAATAAATCTTTCGAAATATGGAGATAATATTATTCTTAGATGCATGGTGGATAATAAGATCTATTATTTGCTCGCAAGAAACGAACAGTACCTCATGGAAACAAAGCTTTAATTGGGTAATTCTTGCACATTTAACATGTACAATTTCCCTTAACACATGGTGTTCACAGTATTCCCCAAACTTTTATACGAAGCACAAAAAAAATACAATTCAGACAAGTCCATTGGAGCCTCTTTTGATGTTTAGAAACAACTTCTGTACACGAGAATGGAAACCGAAAAAAAATATAATCAAAATCTGTTGAAGCAAACCAGAGGGTAAAAAATAATGTACGGAGATACAATAATGCTCTATTAACCATTGAGTTAAGTCTTTTTACTAAGAGCGGAGAACAATAATTCAAATTCAAATATCGGAACAATTTTGAGTTCTTCAATGTACTTCACAGTTCAACCTGATCCCTTGGCGTTAGACATTAAATAAGGATGTCCAGTACACTCTTTCGATCAATTCCTTCTAGTTCAAAGTGACACAATATTGAAATTTGACACCTTGCAAGAAATTTACCGCCTGCCTGAAGTAGTGAAATCTTAGAATCTTGATCACAATAACGAATTCCTAACCATCCCAGCCATGATTGAGAATCAATACTAATTCAAGTTTTACAAGGCTCAATACAAGCAATTCACAACTGATTCAAAAGAGTCCATCAGCCACAACACTCTTCAAGCAATTGTATTGAAATAAGACAAAGACAAAAATCATTTGTTCTACGGTCAGTATGTACGCATAGTGCACATGCAATAGAAGATAAAAAAAGAGAGGTAGGAATCAAGGAGAAGATCAATCAAAATTGAGGAAGCTTAAGAAAACCAAATTAATAAAGGTTACTTGACATCATCGATTAATGCAGTTGGATGCTACCCCTCAGTTTATCTATAGATTAACGACATCTAGAATTCTGATTCAATCGAAAGGGCAGCATCTATCTTCTAGATCTTGCCAGAAAATGACCAAAAGTATAGTGATGAAGTTTAATTTACTGTTGGAAATAAACCCAATTTGGTAGGTTACACTACTTTCCTGCTTAGACACATGTTAACAGGGGAATTCCTAAGAGTCAATCCTTTCGATAATAAGCTGTAATTATCTAAAGATGTTATCAATAAGTATCGATAAATCAATACTACGTCATCAAAAAAACTAGAGACCACAAGATAAAATGAACCAAAGTCTACTGTGTAAAAGAATCTGCCAGGCATCAAATTATATAGAAATCTAATTACTCAATCAAATAACACCAATTAAAATAATATTAATAATATTCAAACTCAATAGGACGAGCGCATTGCAACTCAATACTAATAAACTTAAGGAAATATAGAAGAACTTGAATAAGGTTCATGTATGTCTGACCATCAATTGCTATTTGTAACTAAATTGGGCAATAATCCTATATTCTATAAAGATTAGTTGCCTTTTACAAATGATACAACATTCAATATTGCTACAAAAGATGGAAAATGTCCAATTGAAGTTGACAATTAAGAAGAGGGTGGGTATTAAGTTAAGTTAATAACCAAGTTAGGAATGTTTAATCAATATGGAGAGGATAACTTGGAGTAAACTCTGTATAGATAATTGCACGATGAGTGGATTACTTTGATCCCTGATTTAGATTCATTCATAAAAAAGAATAAATATCAATTATCATCATAAGAAAAAGAAGTTCTTGAGTTCATTGAAGGTGAAAAGAAGAGTCAAGCAAAAAACAAAGTTGATATGAGACATTATAAATCTGATGATGAAACCTTTAAACCTACTTTTATTAATTTGAATCCTCTCAATACTAAATACTTGGATGTATTAGCAAATGAGGACTTTTCAGGTTCCAATTTTAAATTTGAAGTTGTAGACTAAAGTGAAATAGAAGAATTGAGTGAAGTCTTAGATCTAATGTTCCCACTCACAGTCTTAGCTAAAAACTCAATCCAACTATCAACTTTAAAATTCAAATTCAGCAATCTTAAATTCAAGGACTCCAAAGAATCCAAAGATCTAGCTTCCCAATTTCTCAGGTGTCAAGCCTAAGCCGTTCAAAATGTCAATTAGGCAGTCAAGTCACTGTTCAAAATTATGTTATGGTTAACTGCCTCTCAAGAAGCTTTGGCTTAAGAAAATTTAATCTCTGAACCTTTGGTAAGAAGATAGTGTATTGCCAGAGAAATCGGTTGCATAGACTATGTAAATAAGATAATCTATGAGTTAAATATCAATGGGCTATTATATGAAGATAAAGATTCAATCAAGTAGGATGAGGAGATGTTTCAATAGGATATCAATCAACTAATTGATTTGCTTTCCTCGTTTTTATAATTGGTTTGTAAGAATTCAAATGATAACTCCTTATACGTCGTCTAATGGTATTGTCTCTATAAGCACATACTGTTGAGAGGATAAGTAAACGATTTGATGAGACTAGACATCTTGATTACTTAATTGTTCTAATAGTCAGACGTTATGGTTTCGTTTGAATTTGAAGTCACTCAATTATCGAAGGAAACCAAATCTACAAACTACAACAAACATGCTTTTAATTTATTAATTGCCTTTTGTCTTTTCACTGAGTTTAGAAAGAAGGAGGGCATCGAAGGAATAATTGATCATATCTTCAAGCAAAATAAGGATTCCATATTTGCATAGCTCATATTTGATGGCAATATTCAATTGATTTTGAGGGAAAAGATCTAGGACTTTTAGAAAACCATAAGACAATCTATGGATTCAGGTCTTCCCATTTCAAGTCCAATCATGATAGAGGGCTTGAATTTTTCGAACAGACTAGCATTGCACGATTACATCATTTCTTGTGTGAGGTTGGCTTCAGAAATTTCTAAGTCCTCCCCTGCTTTGACTCTAAAGGAAATCAAGCACTTATTTCCCTTCTATACCGTAGCCAAGATAATCCAAGATAATAGCATTTCATCGTTAACCAAATCGTACTTTTTGGAGTTATTCCAGAATTCCTATATGGCTAAACACTTAAATCCTTTGCCAAGAGCCTAATTCCCTTAGTATTTAAAAATGGTTGTCAAATAGAACAAAGGGAAAGGATTCTTATCAATGTTTAAAAAAGAAGAGTACGACATCATTCTCTATACATTTGCATAGAAGAAGATTGCTGATGTCTATTAAAAGGTGGCCAAAAAATATTTGGTGGAAACTGATACAACTGTTGATTTTTGGTTATTTTTATCAGATTTCATCACAAACTTTTGGAAAAGCAAATCCATATATGAAATTAAAGGCACTGATCACATTTATATTAAATAATTGATTTTAACATTCACAGAGTTCTTAAAAAAAGGATTATTCATTGAATATCTTAGCAATGCTCACAATTTTTATAACATGTACCATAAATTCATTGAATTCCTGAAGAATTCTGTCGTTTCAGCTACTCTAGAGGAGAAATACATCAAACATTAGTTGTAGGACAACAAAAAATCAAAGGAGCAGAAACCTTTAGAAGTGAAGGATTATTTGTTTGAGAGTTCAGTGGCATAAAGGGCAGTGTCTAGAACGACTTATGCAAAGAGTATGATATGGCTTGATGAGTTAATTGAGATTCTAATTCTGTTAGAACAATTTCAGCAATCGAGAATGGCAGACCAATTTATTATCACAGATGACAACTAAACAATGTTTGATGATCTCCAATACTTATAGAAGTTTGCCAAGGATAAAAAGTATGCAGATGTAGTTTAAAGGTTGAGATAAGCCAAACGAGCAAGTTATCATACAAGAGGATAGCAATCACAAAGTCAACTCAATCAAAAGGATATATTCACAACTCAAGAGTTGACAACAATATTGAGAGAGTGTTCTTATGCTCGTAAGACTGTGATCTTAGAATATTTAGGAGGTATAAAATAAACTGATATATCGTTGGTTTACTTTTTGATTGAATTGCTTACATTAAATTAAATAAGACTATCAGCCAAAGTGACTGAATTATTGTGGCTGATTTATTCATCAAGAAGTAACTTTCTTTAAACATTGAACTAAACTATCTTGATTGAGGCATTTGATCAAGGAGAGTTACAATTATAAGTAAATTAGAACATATTTACAGACTTTTCAAATATTTATTGGAAATTGCATTTTGCAATTATAGACTTGAAAGAATCCTTGGAGAAAGACTCTAACAAACATTATGAAACAATTAATGATGCCTTATCAGACATGTTAGTGATATTCTTCCCTGATTATGCTGCTAAATCTGATATGTAAATGTTCATGGAGATTAATTAATTGGAGAATGAGGAGAAACATTACTAGGCACAAGAAGAGAAGATGGTTAAGAGCAAAATAAAATAAGAGGTGGCTGTCATAGAATAGTTTGTATCAAGGGCAGAACTTGATCTAATTGACGTCTCAGCACAAAGTCCAATGAGGGATTAATAAAATGAATAATTATAATCACTGAAATCGGCCACAATCGATTAGTAATAAAAGTATGTTTGGAAAATCAATAACTCTCTATCAATTGATGTGTTGACCATCTATTATAGATAAAAGTTATTGAGATACCTGGGATTTCATGATTTGATGTATAAATTGATTGAAAACCTAATATAAGAAACAAGCACTCTATTTAGAGAGAAGGATGTCCTTGTAAGCAATGCAAATAAGAAAGGATGGGAGATTAAGAGCGACATCTTAGAAAAGAGTATTCTATTCTTGATTTATTTTGTAATACGAAATGAAGAAAACCAAGAGATGATACTCAATTTAAGTAAGAGGAAGGATTCCTTTCTACATGAAATGTCTAATGTAAAGAGAAAGCAATTGTAGACTTTAATTTATATTTTGTTTGCTGAACTGTTTAGAGACAATTACAACATATTATTCTCATTAGATAAGTACAACGACGAAAATTCAATATTGGCGAAATTGTTCGGTATTTTTGGTAACAACTTTGCAAGTAAAAATTATGAAGCAGCAATCTATTTCCTTTAATTTTTATAAATCCTATTGAAAGTAAAAGAGAGTGAAGTTGTGTAAAACTATTCAGTAATTATACAATTGTTTTAATCAACTAAACAATTGGCCACATTTGCCAAAGATATTGCAACTCTGATCCACACTATTTATCTCTTAAGATTGGAGCAATTCTTTACTGGCAGCCATGCACCTCTGCCTCAAACACCCAATAATTAATAAAGGCATGCATAATTTAATGGATTCATTGAAATGCCTTTAGAGGTGCTATTCATGACAGAACTACTAAGATTAATGAGAATTATCTGTTCCAAGAGATCAGTTCTCGTTAATGAATTCGTCAATAAACTCTTTCCAGTTACAAGAGTGGCTGAAATGTTGAAGTAATTGGACGAATGGTACCCTTTGAAATCAGAACTAATCCTCTATTTTTAGAGTGTGTTTCTGGATAATTTACAATTCTTAACCTTTGAAGAGAAACAAGAAGTTGTTAAAACCATTACTGAAGTGATATTCAAATAAATGACATTGAGTTTTATTGAGAATTAGAATCTTAAGAAAATGGCAAATGCAAAATTAGTAAATAACATAGTATTCAATATCTTTGGAATAAGAAATTAGTACACTAGTTAAGAGTTCATTATGTCAATATCCCACGAGAAAGCAAGCTTTATCTATGTGATTTTTGGAGTCTTGGAAGTGACTGAAAACTTTGTGAAGAAGGTGTTTCCTAAATTTTTTTAGAGTGATGAACAAGAACACTTTGAAGATGTTTAAAATGAAATTATTTTCATGGCATAAACCATAAGTGAAACAGTTCAAAAAGTAAAAGAGTACATTAATGATGTACCTAATGGAGGCACAGGTGGGAAAATGAAAAATTCGAATTATAAGAGAAGAAGTGGGTAAAAAACAACTAAATTGTTTAATCTAACACATAAATTGCTATCTAGTAACTAGGATGAATAGAATCAGGAATTGAGCATTCTGGCTAAAGAAGATAATGAAATTGATAAGATCAATATAATTATGATAGTTAAAACAATAGACTCGGTCAAGCTCTCAGAAGTTTCCTTTTAATTGTAAAGGAATGATATGCAATAAGCAGAATAAGGAATTCTAAATAAATGGATAAATTCCATTAAATCCTAGAGAACCAAACTAGTAGATGAACATCTTGTGGCTTCAGAGAGAGAAAATGAAATTTAATAGTTAGTTAATTTAATTATTACTTTAAAACGAGATGATACCACCAAATTTAAGAGAATGGTAACTGCCCTTATTTAAATGTTATCTGAAACCTCAGTATCTCCCTCTATCAAGTTGAAATCTATCAATATAGTAAGAAAACTATCTAATTATAAAGAAGACTTTCAAGTAACCAAGTCGATACTTAAGGATTTGGGTGAACTTGGATTCACAGATTTTCTATGCGATTTAATCAAACAAGAGGTTGATTCTGAATAAAAGCTCGAATACATTAAGGCCTTTGTGGATTACATTGATGATTCATCGAGAGAAATTTAGAACTCCTTTTTATTGTATCTACAAAGGGATGTTCAGAACACCTTTATAAGAAATTTGTAAAACTTCATAACAGACATGTTCTAAGATGTCAGAATGGCAGAGATATCTAGAATAGAGAGGAATAATAAGAATATAAATAAGATATTGAATAATAAGATCAATGGTTGCATTTTGATATTTGAAATGTTTCGTCTAGGTTGTGAAGATCATTTTAGTGACATGTAAAACTTTTTGAGGATTCAACCTAATAGTAAATAACCAATCAACTTTATTATGTTTACAGCTGAATTATTCGAGAAATACGTTGAAAAAATGAATGAACATAACGCAGCTCTAGGTTAAAAAATACTAGATTTTTTAATTGAATGCGTTTAGGGTCCTTGTCTCGAGAACTAGACTGAATTATGTTAATCTACTAAGATTTTGGAGGTTCTCGAATAAATTATCATTCAATAAAGAGTTGATAATGATAAGTTTTAAAGAAGAGATATCGTATTTTCAAGTTTGAGAAGTAAGGTGTTCTTACTTTAATTATCCTTAATGGAAGGTAATAGTGATTAAGAAATTGCAAATAAGATATCTCAATATTTCAATCCTCAGATACTCTTCGAGAGAATATAATTAGTTTACTGGAAGATTATCAAAAAGATAAGAAATACATAAATGCAAATAAATTTAGAGTTGAAAGTGTTGGATAGAGTGAAAACGGAAGCTGAAGAATCTGTAAATCTGCACGGAATCATACAGACCAAGGATACTAAGGAGACTTTACCTAATTAAAATTTATTCATGGAGTTCTTCTCGGAGAACTTTAATAGTTCTCGTGGTCCATCACATCTCAGAGAGTCATAACAAACTTAAGTAAATGCTATACAGGAAGAGGAGATGGAAGAAATGGTTGGTGAAACCTTTATGATGTATCTATTACTCAAGAAACTCAGCAATTACATTCCCCAAATCAAAAACTTAACTGATGGCGAAAACAATCCCAAATTGAGAAGAGCTCTGAATTACTACAAAAATGAGACTGCCTCCATTGAAATTGTGAATATGAATGGCAAATTAGAGAAAATATACTTTTAGGTTCCCACTCTGATGAAATATTTGACAGAAGAAACCAAACACTAATTCATGGAAGAAGTAGAAAGAGATTCTATCAATGATAAGATCAATGGCTTGCTAGATAACATGGATAACTTTTATATGGAAATGGTGCATTTTATGAAGTTACGAAAAATCGGAATCAGATTTAACAATAATTTTATTGTTTATCTGAGAAATGTCTGCATTATTTTGGCTCTCCTCTTGAACATCCTAATTACAATAAATGACACTGAAGAAAAGCTGGCAAACCTTGCCAAAGCCATAGCTATTGTGAATTGCATTTTGTATGGATTGATTATGCTCACCTGGGTATTTATCAGAATGCAATTGGAGTACGATCGAATCTATAAATAGGTGTCAGATTTGATCCAATTAAATTACAATAAGAAATCGAATCAAGGATAGACTTAATAGGTCAATCCAAAAACAGTCATTTATCCTTTCCAAATTACATTATTGCAAGCATTCTTAATTATAAAACGAATGTTATTTAGTAGTTACACCTTTTATTGGTTCTTATTGCTGGTCATCAATTTGTTGGGTTTGCTGTATAATAAATTATTTTATGGGTTTCTACTGTTGGATATCATAGATCATTCGCAAGTGTTAAGAAATGTCATCAAAAGTATTTCACTCAATTACAAACAACTTTTGATGACAGCCTTATTGGGAGTCTTAATCATGTATTTAAACATAGTATTTATTTAGGTATTTGTACTCTTTGGTCGCATACTAAAGCACTGATTTTAAATAATAATTGAAAGATGGCAATGATAATAATGGAGATGATGAAGTTACTGATCCTTTAGATTAGACGGTCTGTTACTCTGCATTTTAATGTCTTGTGTATGTAATTCACTAAGGTTTACGAGCAGGTGGAGGAATAGGAGATGCTCTTGAAGCACCTCCGACTCATTCAAACTTAAACTATTATTCATAGAGAGTTCTTTATGATGTGACTTTTTTCATTCTCATTAATATCATTTGGCTGAATATCATCTTTGGTATTATTATTGATACCTTTGCTGAATTGAGAGATTAGAAGAATCAAAAAGGTAACCTATTATTGTACTATTCAAGATTTCGATTCTCAGAACAGATGTTATATTTGCGACTTAACAAGAACAGTATTTGAAAAAGAAGGTATATCTTTCGACAATCACGTTCAAAAATATCATAACCCTTGGAATTATCTGGCTTATTTGCTATACTTAAAAGTGAAGCAGAAAACCGAGCATACAGGCACAGAATCATATGTCTATAGTAAATTCCTGCAAAATGATATAAGTTGGTTGCCCATTTAAAAGGCACTTGATTTAGAATTAATTGCAGAACAATAGTAAAAATAAACAATTAATATCAACATCGAAGAACACAACTAAAAATCGCTACATTGAATCAATCATTATTCTAGTTATCAAATATAAATATCATGAATTTCAATTTTATTTACACAATATATTTGTTGATTTTTTTAGAAATGAATGCTTCATATATTATTATGATTCTAGAATATATTTTTATTGTTCATCAAAAATTACTACCTCTTTAATTATTTTATATTTAATACAAAATATTACTTTTTTGTTTTACAGATACATTCTTCAAAAGAAATCTTTCTCTCTAAATTTTACATTCATATTATTATTAAAAATGATAAACAGCATCTATCCTACCAAAATTATAAAAGGATTAGAGAAAACGTAATTTGAATTTAATTCACTTTTTCATTCCAAGTTTAAATAATATATAAAATAGCCTTAATTATTAATTAATGTCTAAATTGGATGACTTTTGGTTGAGAGACAAGATGTACGATCTCTTGGGTCTGTATGATAATATCACGCATGATTTTATTAAAGAATGTGCAAAATCCTCAACAAGTGCAACGGAGTTGAAAAAGAAATTGATTGATTCAAGTTTTCCTGCCGAAGACGAATTTTGCGAAGAGTTGCTAGCCAGATTTGCAGGAATCAAACCTCCCAAGCCTTCAGAATATGAATTGTGGGAGAAGGAGTAATAGGAAAAAAAGTAGAAGGAGTACGAATTAGTAGAAGCAAATAAGGCTTAACAATTATAAGTTCATAATCCCAATGAGAATAAAGAGGAGGACAAGAAGGCCAAGGAGGAGTTGCATTAAAAATTATTAAAAAAGAAACCCTTGGATAGATAGTAGGAAGAACTGTTGAAGAAGATTGAATTGGAGAAAGTGAAGGATGAATCCAGGATGAAGTATTTGAAGGAAAGAGAATTGAAATAGTTGAAATTGAAGCAAATGATTTAGAAGGACGAGGAACAAATATTCGATGAGGCAGAATTGACAAAGAAGGAAAAAGAGGAGAGAGAGTTGAATTAATTAATATTGAAGGCAGCAGAGACTCAGAAAGACAATGACATAGTGGTTGAATATTATAAATAGCCAGATTTATATGAGGAGGACGGTAAAATATTGAAAGATAAAACTGATGTCTTGAAAAAGAAAGCTACAGACATTAAAGCTGAAAAGCCTGAAGAGGAACAATGGCAATAGCACATATCTACAAGAGCTAATTAACATGTGAGAACATGGGATGAAATTGAGTAAAAGAGAATTAAGAAGTACGAATTATTGTATGAAAACGCAATAGACTTCGTTTAATTAGAAGTAATCAAGGAATTGGGAAAAATTTAAAATGAAAAAGCAAAAAAGAAAGAAGGAAAAAGAGAAGAAGAAAAAGAAAGATAAGAAGAAAGATAAGAAGAAGAAGAAACATCGAAGTTCTAGCAGCAGTAGTAGTAGTAGTTCTAGTAGTAGCAGTTCAAGTGAAGAGGAGTAACCTAAGCCTTAATATCCGATGGAACCTTAGAAGCCTTAAAAAAGTGCAATTCAGATTGTCAAAGAAGGATTGCCAATCTTTAAATTCAGAACTCAACTATTATCGTTGATTAGGGACAACAAAGTCATTGTTATGGTTGGAGAAACAGGATCAGGAAAGACTACACAATTGGCATAATACTTACATGAGGTTGGTTACACGAGAACAGGAATGATTGGATGTACTTAGCCAAGGAGAGTGGCTGCTATGTCAGTGGCATCTCGAGTGGCATTAGAAATGGGTGTGAAATTGGGACATGAAGTAGGTTATTCAATTAGATTTGAAGATTGTTGTAATGATTCTACCATCATCAAATACATGACAGATGGTATGTTATTGAGAGAATTCATGATTGACCCAATGCTATAGAAATATAGTGTATTAATTATTGATGAAGCTCACGAAAGAACCTTACATACTGATATCTTGTTGAGTTTAATTAAGGATATAAGCAGAGCTAGGGATGATCTCAAGGTAGTTATCTCTTCAGCCACACTTGATGCATAGAAATTTAGTTAATATTTCGATGATGCCCCCATCATTCAGATACCAGGCAGGAGATATTAAGTAGATATATATTACACACAATAACCAGAAGGCAATTATGTTGAAGCAGCTGTCGTTACTGTTCTTCAAATTCATGTCACCTAAGGTGTGGGTGATATCTTAGTGTTCCTGACTGGACAGGATGAAATTGAAGATGCTGAAGAAATGCTTAGAACAAGAACAAAAGGATTCTCCAAAAAAATACCTGAACTAATTATTTGTCCTGTTTATGCTGCCTTACCCAGTGAATAATAAGTCAAAATATTTGAACCTACTCCTAAAGGTTGTCGAAAAGTAGTCTTGGCTACTAATATAGCTGAAACCAGTATCACTATTGACAATATCATTTATGTTGTTGATTGTGGATATGTTAAGCAAACATCTTTTAGTCCATCCACAGGTATTGAATCATTACAGGTTGTACCATGTTCTAAGGCTAATGCTAATCAAAGAGCAGGCAGAGCAGGTCGTATAGCACCAGGAAAGTGCTTTAGACTTTATACTGCATGGTCCTATAATAATGAATTAGAAGACTCACCCATCCCTGAAATCCAAAGAACCAATCTTGGTAATGTTGTTTTATTACTCAAAACTATGGGTATCAATAATTTGGTTAATTTCGATTACATGGATGCTCCACCTCATGAAATGTTATTAAGGGCTTTGGAATAATTATATTCATTGGGAGCATTGAATAACGAAGGTGAATTGACTAAATTAGGAAGAAGAATGGCTGAATTTCCATTAGATCCTATGCTTTCAAAGATGGTTGTTACATCTGAGCATTTTAAATGTGTAGATTAGATTATCACCATTTCTGCCATGCTTTCTGTTGGAAATACTATCTTTTATCGTCCAAAAGAAAAGCAAGTTCATGCTGATACAGCAAAAAAGAACTTTTATAGACCAGGTGGAGATCATATGACTTTATTGAATATCTACAATTAATGGAAGGATTGTAATTATACTAAAGAGTTCTGTTATGAAAGCTTTATCCAATTCAAAGCAATGAAAAGGGCACAAGACATTAAAGAATAATTGACTTCCTTGTGTGAGAGAGTGGAGATCGATATTAAGGATGAAACTCTGTCTGTTTACGAAGATGGTGGTATCAATATAAGAAAATGCATCACTTCTGGATTCTTTTACAATTCAGCTAAAAAATAAAAGAGTGAGACCTATAGAACACTCAAGAATAGTCATGAAACATAAATTCATCCCTCCTCTTTAGTATTCCAAGAAAAACCAGAGTGGGTAATTTATCATGAATTAGTGTTAACTACTAAGGAGTATATGAGGAATGTATGTGAAATCAAACCGGAATGGCTTTATGAAATAGCACCTCATTATTTTACAGAAGACTTTATTAAATCAAATTAAAAAACATTGCCCAAAGCAAAAATTGATTATAATCAATTTTGATAATTATATCCTCATTTTTATTTAACTTTTTTGTCTTTTTTCGCTTTCTTCACTGGACCTTATGTATTCTATTACACAAATCTCAATCCTATTAAATAAATGGTGAAATAGACCTAAAAATAAAATGACACTAAAAAGTGAAATCAAACCAGCAAAGATAATAGTCTGAGTGGTACCTGACAGCTTTGACAAATCAACTCCAAATAACCTATAACCCTATGGTTATTGTCTTCTTCTTGGATCCATTTCTTCGTCATCGTCATCATCATCATAGCCTTGTTCTTACTTATATTTCTTTTATTATTCTTGCATGTTTTTATCGAATTGCTAAGGTGATCATAAGGAATACCTCTATCTCTTTCGATAATATCTTCTCCTAATCTGTTAATGTGAGATCATCTTCCAAACTCAGATCAGTCATCATGAAGACATCCTAGAAATCCTAATACTTAAAGGTTTATTGTCTCAATTAATTAAAGAGATCAGCCAATTATTAGTATTGGATTTTTTGGATGCACTGCATCACTAATTGAACCTATAATTTTTCATATGCATTTCTTTTGTCTTATTCGTTTGTAATCTATTTGAATAACTACATCAATTCTTGGCTTCTCTCTTATAAGTGGTACTTTGTTAAAATAATGCACCCATATTATTACTACTAATAATAATTTTGTTATGCTATCCTATTAATGATTGATTTGTACAGTCCTATTATTAGAATTAAGATTCTTGGTCTTCCTCACTCAATTCCTCTTCCTAGGCTCTGAGTTGTATAAGAGTCAAGGCAATCAACAGTAATTTCCACATTAATAAATTAATATGTGATATTAAATTTATAAGGAATTCTAATTATGAGTTATTAATATTAAAATCATCATAACAATTAATTTAATAGTTCTTTTATTTCTTCCTTGACTCTCTTGCCAAATTAAGGACACTCTTCAATATGTCTTTTGATTAAGCAAAAGAAGAATTTACTATCTATCTTTTTCATTTATATCAATCTTTCAAGTTGTTGCAATAGTTTTCTAACTGTTTATTTGTTATTAATACTCATTAAATTATTTCTAAATATCCATAGTAGTTTGTTTGCTACTTATTCTGTCTGATCGTTTTTTTAATTCTGGATAATCTTAAGACAAAGCTGATTTCTATCTGACTTGTTTCTCGGGCTTATCTACGCATTCTTTTATTACTAATTTCTGATTCTACTCAAATTATTTCTATTTTGAATTGTCTTCAATGTGTTAACTATTCTTATTTTTGCTCTTTTTCTCGCTTTCTCTTTTTTAAATCTAATTATTTCTCATTTCCGACATTATATTCTTGAACTCATCTCTATTTGTGACTGATGAAGATTTAATGCCCATTTTGGTATTTTGAAATTTCATCTCATCTCTTAATTGTCCAACGCCAATATCATGTTTTCCAACGAAGATGTCAGAATATTTAATTGTTTCTTGAGTCCTTGTATTGGAAATGTATTTATTATATCTACTCAATAATTCTTTCTCCTAATTGTTTAATAATTCCATTTGTTATTGTTATTAATATAATTAATCAATGCTATATATTATTATAAAATAATCATGTTATGTACATATGATAAACTACTCATCTGAGTGACCTATTGAAAGTTGCTAACTTCTCCACTCCTTTGATCAATTCAATTTACTGGAGGGGAGTTAATTATTAGGTGAATTAGTTGACATTCTCCTCTACTTCTTATTGAATTAATTTCAACCTTTTCATTTCTGTATTGAACTTTAATAATAATCTACTTATAACAGATGAGAATACTATTAGGATATCTTTCTATGATTTAATAATTTATCAATTATGGGGAGTACTTTATAAATCAAATTCTCGTCATCTAATTTGGTTTGTTTTTTTACTATTTCAACGTAGGTATTGAATTCGTCGTCATCTAAAATGATATCAAACACAATAGTACAATTCTTAACATCCTTATTGAAACTAATCAGTTGCAAACCATAATTTCCTTTTAAGAAATTCCTCTGTATATTTTTAACTGCATATTTAAAATAGTCTCTCCTTTTGATTCCACAGGTACCATACCTCATCTAATAGTTAATAGCCATGAATACCAAATATGAATCTAAAATAAGCTAAGCCTAATCAGATTATCTGCATTATATAATTTGATCAATGGCATTGGAATTCCCAATGATCATGCTGTTTAGAATGGGATGGGAAGTGAGCAGTTAAGTCAAATACTCAAAAGACTGTCTTGTTGTTTTTTTATATTCCTGTATTTTTTAATCCAAATCTGAAACCTAGTGTTAAGAGTGCAATGTTACCTTCTTCTCCAATAACTTCAAATACACCTTCTTTCGTAAACGTGAATTCTTAGCACTTTGCCTTAATCGCTTATTCTTTGACTCAGCAGTCAACAAATCATTCGCAGATCCCAAGAGTCCGGCCAAACCGAATTTCTATTCCTTCGATACTTCCTCTGATGAACTGTCTCCTTGTAAATCCTCCTGCAATTCCTCATCCAAGAGTTTTTCGCCTTCTACACTGAGCAAGGAGGTAATTTTTTTGATGTAGGCATTTTTGACGTTACCCTTAATTTCCTGTATTTAAGGGGTCTGTTCTTTTATACTGGCATTAGATTGAATTCTCTGGAGTGTCGATTTGGTCTTCTTGATCTTTTTGCTTTCTTGAGTGATTTATGAATTTATGAAGTTGTTCTGCAGTACATTCTAAGTGAATAGACTTTGCAAATTCAGCATCCTCTACTATTCATGTAATTGCTAGAGCAGTCTAGCATTTTGTGCCAGCAATTGATCCTACGTGAGGGCTTATTGTAGGAAGGGAATGGTTGATTAATTATTTAAGGTTTGTATAAATTAATCTAATTCTTCTGCAGGTTATTACATATATATATTTATTATTTATCTTAGATGGTCTATTCATTATATTAATAATGCCTATGACATTTAATTGCAAAATCATGTGAACCACATATTCAGACAGTTCCTTATTTATACTTTCAATTTATGACATGGATTCTGAGAATCAATTAATAGATCGAGATGATCTTTTTAATATCTGTCAATTAATAAATTTGGTGAAATAAATTGATGGAGTAAAATGAGTTATGATTCACATGAAACAAAAGCAGAAAACTAAACACAATAAAAGATCAAAGTTTTTTGTAGCGAGTGTATGTAAGGATAGAGTACAAAAGCGAGATGACTAGCATTACAACTACGATTATCAAGTAAGACGTGGGTACAAAGTCGAACTGTGCCATCAATCTAACTGCTGCCTCATTAAAAAATTAGTTTACTAAAACTGTAGTTTGTATTACTAGTCAAGTTGTATTGAGTATTGATATACAAACGCTCATAAATAGTGAACTCTTCGATCTCCTCTCCATCTAAGGATAGTTACACATCAAGCAACAGAATATCAGTTTTGGAAAACATTTGCACACTAATTGGAGGATCCCATGTTTATTCCATCGTAAATATTCCTCCTTTCTGGGATACATCTAACTCAATATAATCTGCCTATAGAACTATAGATGGAATCATTAGGGCCAGAAAGAAGAATGCTATGAGCTATTATGTTTTCAATGTACACAGTAATATATGCAAAATTATTCTTCTACGGAATATCTAGAAGTACTCCTACAAACTCTCTACAAATGGATCTTGTCTTGAGTGCTCTTTCTCATGTAAGAAGTACTTCTATTTGATTGGTTGAAATTCAACTCCTAATTACCCTTAATGTTCTTTCATTTAATTATTATAATTTAATTATATAAATGTGTCCAACCTCCGAAATACAATTGGTTATAACTTGTAGACGCAAATTATCCAACCCCTCTTTCTTCTAAGGAACCATTAAAACTCTGATCTACAAAGGAGTTGATAATCGAATCTACTTTGATTGTAATGTAGAAATGAGCGAAGAAACCTAAAAAAGCATAGTGCAATGACGACAACAACAGAATTCAGAGTTCAACTTCTATTTGATTTTAATTATCCGTTAGAATGATTTAATTTTAAATATAGAATACAATTTGTTAGTGTGTGAGTTTTTTATATTGGAGCAGTGAAAATTTTCAATTTCAATGATAAAATCGAAAATGGCAAAATTAATCAAACTTAAGATTTTTTCTTTATCTTTTTATTTATCTAAGTATTTTATTAATTCTTTTTTTATTTCTTTTGTGGCATCCTTCTGTTTTCACATTCCGTACATTAGCAATGAGATGTGCACTTCTTTCCCCTAATGAAGCATTCACAGTAACCTTTTACACATTTTGTCTTTTTGCACTTACAGCCCCACACTTATTTAGTATCGAAGGAATCCAAATCATGATGTGATGCTCTCTGTTCTTTTATCTTAATTTATTCAACTGCCTTTTAAACTTCTTCCTCGTGTTGCCCATCATTATAACAATCGTTGCATCTGCATTCACTCATGCATCGACGCCGATTATGAAAACAAGAACAATATAATTATAAACAATGAGTCTTTGTGCAATGACAAGGTTTCATCTCGTCTTATTCCACAGGAGAATCATCAACATTATAATTTGCTTTATTCCCTTTTCTTCTCGTTTGAATCTATTAAATAGTTGGTATTTCCTATATTTCAAACTATCTTATTTCAGACACAGCCTCCTATTGAACTTTCCTCTCCTGTTTCTTAGGAGGAGAATATTTCATTGGACTCATGCCTTCTATTGACATTGGTTTCTTTGTTTGATTTTGACAGTCATCTATCGACATTTGTGAACTATTCAAATCATGCCCATCTATACATATATAGCATTAGTTTAGGCACTGGAACATCCTCTATTAATTCAGCAGATGACAATTAACTCTGAGTTTGCGGCCTTACTAATTCCTATTTAACGTTATCCCGCTATTCATTATCCTTCGGCATAAATAAATCCTCATGCTTTGCCAAATCATTAGATGATGAAATATACATTCCATTTTAGCTCTCTTTATTACTCATTCTTTAATTTTAATAAAAAAACAATAATTTTTTAAACAGTTTCCATTATTGCATTAGAAAATGCTAATATATAAACTTTTTTATAATAATCTAACATTAACGCCACTACTCAAAAGCTATTTCTTCCTTAATCCTTTAAATTGTATCCCTCCCTCTCCTTTTCAAAGCATCTAGAATGCTCCGTCAAGATTCATTTGATGTAGAAGATCTAAATTTTAGTATTAATTCTAATTATTCTATTATTATTAAATAAAAAAAGAGCAATTCGACAAAAATACAAACAATTATATATACGTTAAATTAATCAATGAATTTGGAAGAAATTCTTCTGCACCTGTTTGATAAGACCTTAGACTCTAGTTCCAATGATCATCTGTAAACCATTTTAGCCAGTCAAGCCAAGATTATACAATTGAAAAAGGAGAATGTCACTCCAACCATTATCCATTAGAAATCATCAATATAAAAAAAATTAGATACCTTAGATAAGAAAATTCTTAACAGAGATAGTCTTAAAAGTAAGAGGAAATCAAAAAATGACAATGTTTTCAAAACTGCCTCCCAACATGAAAATGATAATACATAAAAGTTCGTAATCAATAATAATGAAGATTAAAAAGATCAATCACTACTAAAATTATAGAACAAACAATTGTAAACTCTGATTGCCTCACTGGAATTTAAATAAAGAGAAAAATACTTACAAAATTGCAATCGCATCAGATAAATTCAATAAGAGAAAGAGAAATTATTAGAGAACAATACAAACTTGAATGAAAAATAAGAAAAACTCAATCAAAGATCATAAACTCTAATGTAGAAATAAGTGATTTTAGAAAAACAAGAAAAGTAAATGCAATATTAAGGATTATGCATATAACAAAATTAATAAGAATAGTAAAAAAATGTAATAAATTTTATTATTAATTTTAGGATGAATTATTAAATGAAAGGAGAGAACACATGGAAGGATTGCAGATGAAACTTAATGAATTCGTTAGTCAGTTATTAAATTTGGCAAATTCAAAAAATAAAGTCGAAAATTAATTGCCTATATAATTTGATGCTATTGAATTCCTGATTCAATACATTCTAAAAGAAAGATCTATACTGCAATCAGAATAACAATATCTAAGGAAATTTAAGTAGGATGTTCTAAATGAGAAAAAGCATGTCTTAGAATTGAAAGATTAATTTTCATGATTTCAAACTTTTAAACAATTTTTCATTTGTCATATCTAAATAATTAACTTATTTGTAGCGATAATGATAAATTCAATAATGAAAATTACATTTATATAAAACTTAATAAATATTATTTAATTAAACTCTTATGCAATAATTGGAAACTCAATATTGCTATTATAGCAATTTCAATTTATTTGAAAGCACATCTCAATTGTTAAAGAGAGATAAGTTTGTTAAATCATTATTGCTAACTCTAGGAGAGGAATGGCGCATATATGCTGGACAAGCAATCACTATAGAATTAGATGGATAAGTACATCATTTCGCATGGCAATTTTGTTTTGAGAATTTACTTTTTGCTTGGTTAGAGAACGAAGATACACCGTATTTAGAATTTTATGATAAATCAATTTAACGCATAAGTCCTTATAATATAGGTATCAATCAAATAATTTAAATTAGATGTGGTTTATTTTAGGCCTGTTTTTGATGGTTTCTTCTATTCTGCTTAATAATTGTGGTAAAAAATGAGATTGAGCAGACCACCCTCCCAAGAATCCTTCAAATCTTTAGATCAAATTAAGTAAGAGGAAATTAAACCAATGTCAAATATTCTAAAACCATTGGTGGTTGTAAGTGAAAGGATTATCAATTATTTCAGAAAAGAAGAGCAAGCATAGCCTTAAAGAATGGAATATCCATAATACTAATAGCCAAGTTGGAAACAAATCTCTAAACTCACAGAAGATTCTTTGCCTCTTGAATTGATCGAGAATGCATACATCTACGTCAGTTAATTCATTCAAAAAACATACAAGAATTGTCAAGTAGCAAAATCATTCATCGTTAATATTATTGAACTAAATCATGATGCGCTTAGCAAATTCCAAATCTCAAATTAACAAATCAAAATTAGAATAATGTAGCCATCTTGTTTGATGTACGATAATTTACTATCAATTTGGACGTTAGCAAATGCAGGTATTTAACCTCAATACTTTGATCTTATCGACAGGGCTAAATCTTTATTGGGTAATAATTGGAAAGACAATTATTAATAGCCTGTGGAAGTGTTTTTTTAAATGATGTCCAAACTGCATGGCAGCATCATTCTAAATCCATAGATAAAGTCAGAAGATTAATTAAACCATTTGCTATAGAATATGAGAATTCAAATGGCTCAATTGTGGGAATAAGAAATAGTTTAATCAACTTTAGAAAAATAATGATTAATGTTATATTGTGTATAAAATGTGAAATATTTCAATTTAATTCAGAAATGATTAACCCTCAATTGATGGAAAGTGGAGAACAGAGATTTTCCAAGATCTAGTGCTGAACAAACTCTTTGATTAACATTTAACCTTGGAGGAATTTGTCCTATTAATCTTCAAGAATTTTTCCATCAAAATTGTTTAATTGAAGGATATATTTAAATTTAACCTAAATAAATCAATCTATTTCAATGTAATTAGATCACTACATCAAAAATAATTACGAGTTGTTATTTGAGGATCTTAAAGATGTAAGATTCAAAGTATGAAAAGAAATATTAACACTGTGATAACATTTCATAATTGAAGCCTTAAATAAACTGTAGTTAATTAAAAAGATTTAAGGAAGAATATCTCACTAAATATTGTGATAAGTGAACAATATAAGATATTATTTTTAAATTCTTAATCCTTTTACTTAAACTATAGAAATAAAAATAAAGTTAATCAAATTAGAGGATTATATGAATTATGTATGTTAAGTAAAAACAATCCAAATTGAAATAAATACATTAAATACGAATAATTGGATTATAAATATTAGATGCTTATATGAATTTTTTCTGTTTTAAGATATAAACTAATAATTTTATATAAATCTTTTCATTATGAGATAAAATTTTAAAGAATTGACCGTCGCACATAGGAAGTGCAACTGATTGTAGCTCAGAAGGTTATGGTTCGATTCCATATGGTCAGAATGTTTTTATAATCATAACTTTTTTATTTTACAAGAATAACTTGATAAATTCAAGATAATTTCAATTATCACGCAAATCTTGTTATATTATTACTTTATGATAGTGAATAGATACTAGATTATTCTAACTTAATTAATATAATCCTTTATGAGATATTTTTTAATGATTGACCGTCGCACATAGGAAGTGCAACTGATAGGATGTCGGAGGGTTATGGTTCGATTCCATATGGTCAAGATTATTTTTATTAATACTTTTATTTTTAATTTAAGACCATTTTACATAACCAACTATTAATACATCCAAGAATTCATTAAATTATTGTATTTTAGTTATTACTTATTTATAATATCATAGTAGTGATCCTCGCACAAATGGTAGTGCAACCGAAAGACAATCGGAGGGATATGGTTCGATTCCATGGGGTTACAACTTTTAATCATAACTTTTTATTGTGAATTGAAGGTTATTTAAAAAATAACTTTAGAAATTCAAGAAATTCTTATTTATATTGTGAATTTTTGTATTATGATGTTAATAGATATTCGATAATTATAAGAAAATTCAGATTTAAGCTAATGAAAAAATATTCAATGATTGACCGTCGCACATTGGAAGTGCAACTGATTGCAAGTCAGAGGATTATGGTTCGATTCCATATGGTCAATATTATTTTATTAATACGTATATTTTTAAATTATAACATCCAATAATCAAATAATTTATTTTATTTTTGTAATTATCTATTTAAAATATCATAGTAGGAACCCTCGCACAATGGTAGTGCAACCGATTACATATCGGAGGGCATTGGTTCGATTCCAATGGGTTTCGCTTTTTATCATATCTTTTTATTGTGAATTGAGGAATATTTAAAAAATAACTTTAGAAATTCAAGAAATTCTTAGTTATATTGTGAATTTTTGTATTATGATGTGAAAGTTAATAGATATTCTATAATTATAAGAAAATTCAGATTTGAGCTTATGAAAAAATATTCAATGATTGACTGTCGCATATAGGAAGTGCAACTGATTGCTAGTCAGAGGGTCATGGTTCGATTCCATAGGGTCAATATTATTTTTTAACTAATATAGATTATTATTTAACAATAAAAATATATAAATTAGGGTCAGTCACACTTTTTTTAAATAACCTATTTATTATGAATTTTATGCATTTGATAAAAAAAAACAATCTAATGTCTAGGTATCTTCAATTATTCTATGAAATTCGCCATTTATTTAGCTAGTGATTGAATAATTACAAATAAATTAATATTGTAATTTAAAAGAAAAATTTCAATGATTGACCGTCGCATATAGGAAGTGCAACTGATCGCAAGTCAGAGGGTAATGGTTCGATTCCATAGGGTCAATATTATTTTTTAATTATTTAGATTATTATAATTAATTAGAATTTAGTGAAAAAAATTTATTTAAGAAATTCTAGATTATTTTTGAATTATTTAATAATTATAGTGAAATAATTAAAAGAAGTAATTACAAATATCATTTGGGCCCATTCCTTTATTTATATTTTTCAATCAAACTAATCATAAACAGGATTCAATAACAGTATAATACTTTTATTGAAATTAAATAATAGATTTTTGTTCTCAATAATTCATAGAATTACTATATATTTAGAACTATAATCTTGAATTGAATAATTATGGTGGATATATTATAAAATTTAACATAAAAAATCAAATCAAATTTTTTCTGCAATTATTTGATCTAGCAGATCTTTGTGTGTATCGATGGTATAGAATTCATCAATCTTTTTATCTGGCATAATTTAAGAATAGGTTTTGGTTTAGAATGTAGAAACTAATTTTAGGAAGAATAATACTTTTTTCTTAAATATTTCTGATTCTTGATGAAAGCATACATTAGTAATTGGACAAAGTTTAAAGATGCATTAATTTATATTGCAAGGCTTCATCTACGTCCATATTTGGTTGTTTTTCGTAATACTTGATCATATTATTAACAGTGCTAGTCAATCGATCTAATTATTCATATTATTGAATAATTAGTTGTTCTTAATATTTTTAGGGAACAGAAAACTATTAATTAAGTCTAACTGTGCCGGATAATTGATCATATGATTCCTTCATAGTTTGTTAAGCTTTTTAATAATCATTGCATTGAGCCTCTTCTTTTTTTAAGACTTCAAGCCCATCCTCTGTAATTTTCTAAACCAATCCAACAGTCGAAATGTATTCATTTAGATTTTTAGACAAATCCTTTTAACCAGCTAAAATCTATTCAGAAGTATCTAGAACAGATTTGGTATCAATTTGAAAGACTATTTGAGAAATTGGCTAGATCATTTATTACCATTATTAGTTTTAAGCAGGTTGATTAATAAAGGTTTTTTCTGTTTCACCGATCTTTAGAGTCAATGCATTATATTTTTCTTTAAAGGCATTAGAATCATTAATTAAAGTTTGAATCTAATTTTATTGAGGATATTATAGACCATTCTACATCATTCCTGGTTACTATTATTAAGGCGTGGTAGCAAATAAATTAGGTTATTATCCAAAGGCTGGTTATGTGTTTCCAAATAGGTTAGGAGTTGTCGTTGATGTAGGACCAAATAAACCTTAATTTTGAGCTGGTTATCCTAATAATGATGTTTATCCAAATCCACCTATAGAATAATATATATGGAAATACCTATCCCTTGTTAAGTTTAAGTATTTGTCTATCCAAACATCATATTATTTTATTGCGTTGTTTATGGATTGTTAAAGAGGTTATTTGATTATTGAGCAGCAGGTGCAGAGAATATGGAATTTGTTTAAGGAGGTTAATTTCCGAATAAACCTTATTATGTTGCATTTGGATTGAACATATTAAATGCTTTAATTATTTGTTTAAATTATTTGAATATTTATTTTAGTAAAATAATGAATAATACTCAATTCAATGGATAGTTTAAATATTATGTGAATTGAGGAATATATTTCTGAGGATAATGATGACCATATGATAACAAGAGAATTTTATTTTAAAACCTTTCAATGTCAGTCCAATTAAGTGGCATCAGTTTAAAAACTAATGATGTTAACCCATTTCTATCAAATGAACCACTGCAACTGGAGAAAGTATCACCTGGATAATTTAAATAAAATACCATAATTTTCAATGTTAAATGACTCTCCCAAACAAGATGCTTTAAAGTGCATAGATTAACCGTTATACGTCACAAATTATAAAGAGGTGATGTACATTCCATCATAAGTGCCAGTCACCTACTATAAATCTACATAACCCATTAAAATTACAATCATCCTTTTCTATAACGAACTCTTCTTCCCATACATAGAAATAAAACTTGCTGAGACTATTGGCACAGAAATTATGATCTTTATAGATTTATCTCTATTCATAAAATATTCCTATCGCTACTATATTTTGTTTATTGTATTGGATTTTGACTCTAGTTATTTTATCTATCATTCCATCATCAAAATCATCCCCCTAGGGTTTACCAATCGATAGATATTTGCCTTCCATCTTTTAAAATCAATATTAATTTAATTATATATAATTTATCAAAAGTCAATTGATTTATTCCTATTTGATATCCGATTAAAAGTTAGTTTGAGGATGCTACTGCTTATTCTATATCATTGATTGATCAATGTCACCTACTTTTTACTCAATAGATGCCCATTAAGGTAAATTAAAATAAATAAGATCAGAAGTGACCCATTAACGTTTCGAATCATCATCCTTATTCTTTAAACATTGCTGCAATATTGCTTATTATGAAGCTGGAGATTTCCCTCTTTTTGGACTATTCTTTATCATCGATTTTGATGTATTTAATTTCGATTGAACCTTCTTCCTCTTCTTAGGTTATTGTTCTTCATCACTTGAATTCTACACCTCCAATCTAGCCTTATATTTATGCTTATCACAAAAAAATTTAAACTAATTCTCTATCAATTTGCCTTATCATAACATATTTAGCTTTACCTGTTTGGGAACTCTTCATTAGACAGGTAAAATGAAATGATTAAGGACACACTGCACAACAAATTGTTGCTCCCGCTCTACTACACAAAAAACACCTCTAAAATTAATGATATTCTTACAGTTTTCTTAGATTTCTCAACCTCTTCATCTATGTTCTTTGGATCACTTTATTCTAACCCATTAAAAAACACCAAATTCTAACTCCATAATCCACACATCTCATGTATTTAATACTTCTAACTTGAATTATTGTTTGAAGGTATTAATAAAAGAGACCCTAAATTTTAATCATTTGCTTCCAACCCACAAAATGCACAATTACCCTCATTTTACTTTGGATATATTAATTTCTAATATTAAAATTTCTATAATCTCCCAAAGGTTATGACCGATTCCTTTATTTCTTGCCTTTGTTTCAATATTGGCTTGATTGTTTCCGTCTACTGTTCGGATGAATTTTAAATTTAAGTTGTAACCCTTTATTAGTTATTTTCTTTTTAAGTATTTTAATTTTATTAAGTCTAAAATTATGTCGAGTTCTATGCTTATAATTATTAGACTTGCAATTAGAGATGTGTTTATTATTGACCTAAAGTAGATTAACTCTGGTTATAAGAATTTTGGCCTGGCTGACCTGGATTCCTTGTTTATTTGAACAATGGGTAAAATTTTTAATCTTGCTGTACAATTTTTTAAGGGACTTTTTATTCAGTCTATTTATTTGTTTACTCTTATTGATTTAATTCCTCAATTACATATGTTTATGGATTGGAGGGAACCATCTCTTTCAAATCTCTTAATTATTTATCCACTTCCTTATGAAACTTATTAAAATATTCCAATATCTTCAATTGATTATATGATTATTTATCTAGTTGTTTCATGCTATTAGAGTCCTCTGTAATATTATTCAAATGATATCTTCGCTCCATTTTTTCTTACTATTTCCTTTTCAGATAATTTGTAAATTTTTGAAGAGTAGCCTTTGTTAATGCTAACAATTGATCAGCGTCTGAAATGGCTTATTCGAACTCTTCAGCGGCTTATTCTAAATACAAATTCATTAAATTATTTATATTAATTTTTTCAAAAAATAACCATGACTTTGAATTGAACTTATTAAATTTTAATGTATTGTATTTTTTTTATGTTTTTCGTTTTTTATGAAGTATATATTCCCTATATATTTATTATATATTCTATATATCAACATACACACAAAAATAAAAATTGGCTACTTAATTTATTTTTCAATCTTTTTCCTCATTTTCTTCTTTTTGATTTACAGACTTTTTTTCTATAATAATATAGTAATATTTGATAAATCAAACGTATTATTATTTGCAATAGGAAACTGCTTCAGACTTGAATAAGTAAGGAATCTCAGAATTTTTAATTACATGAGACCCATGTTATTTAGCTTGAAATCAGTCATCAAATAAGATACTTAATGACTTGAATTTAGTTTCATTAAATATTTAACGAATTAAAAATAATTTGTTCAGAATTATTAAATATATACTCAATCTATCATCAGAGGACTTCATACAGTTTTCAATCCTTGATATTAATCATTTTGTTAAAAAAAAACCTTAAATTCCTTTGAAGATACAACCCTACTTGAAAGAGTGGAAATAATTTTGTATTTTAGGATTCTATTTTCCGATATTGAGGTATATTTGCAGTTTTTGGACTTTATCTTCATCTTTTTCACGTTTTCTTTGCGCATATGGAATATTATGGTCTTAGCCGTGGCGTATTTGATGCCCAATTTTTTAGCAGCCTATTTAATACTTAATTCAGTAGTATACATCTTTGATTTTAAACCCTTCCATGAATACCAACTAAGCAAGCTATTCCTTTGCATTAGACGGTACCTTAACGTAAGTTCGTTTATATTCTTAAAAAACACCAGGCCCTAAATTATTTCGAGGTCTAAGTTCCTTCTTTTCTTACGATTTCTCAACTTCAGAACTAGCATTATTTGAATATTCATTTTCATTGAGACAACGAATTATGTTCATTATAAATAATAATTTTGATCCCTTCAACATAATCTTGAATATAAACAGATATTTTAATGCGTCATAATTAATTAACGTGTGTAAATTTTATAAATCTCGTGTAATTGATTGATATCAACTCGTCGTGTTGAAATTTAATGATTTAATAGTATCATTTTTTATGATATTTTTGTACAATTTATAGGAAAATATAGGGTATCAAATAAAATTTAAAAATTAACTCCATAATTAATAAAACAAAAACTCGCATTATTTAATAATAAAATGAATTAAATCTAAGAGGTTGTCTAGCGAAAGAAATAAAGGAATATTTAAATTCTCATGATATTAAATAAATTAAACATTATCCTATTTTTATATTTATTCCTTAGTTTTACTCAATACTGCAACTTATTCAATAAAAAAAAGATACCATATTTATTCTTTCTAATAACTCAACCTAATTATAAAAATATAATATTGTCTCATCTTAGGCTAAATAGAATAATATTTTTGGTAAATTTTAAGAAAAACCAAAAAAAATAAATTATTTATGTTTTCAATATATGAAAGTAAAGTTGAAGCAATCTTCAAATCCGATAGTATATTATTAACAATAATAGATAAATTAAAAATTGAAACTTTTAAAGGTGTAAGTAATAAAAAAGGTTTGGACTTCTTAAGTAGTTTTATTTTATAATACTTATCAATTATTTCATAAAACACAAGCATTTTCAATAAACAAGTTTACAATTGCTTAGCAATGATAAATTACATAAAGTAAATATAAGAAAAGCTAGAAAAAACATTAAAAATAAATGAGGAATAAAAAAAGGAGAAGAATTTAGGTAACTAAGAATAGAATGCTAATATAGGGGTCAAATTTTAATTCCGCACCTTTTTAATTATTTCTTACCCAGAAATTCTTAATTTATTTAAGTTTCAGATAAATATCTTCATATGCGTTAAAAAATGCGATATTGTCAAATCCAATATAAAAGCGATTACTGTACATCTTTACCTAATTATTAATGAATAAACTAAAGATTATCAGTTAATAATTTATAGTTTTGCTTAAGTTAGATTAGGATATAATTCTTAGAACAATACATCAGGATTTTTACTTCTTGAAAATAAATGTAAGACCCTAAAACTGGAAGATTTCTTTTTTCAGTTAAATACTTCTTTCAATAAGAAATTATCTCCTTTTAGTACATTAAGACATTATTATTACATCAATTTCAATTTGGTTTGATTACCATGTAATTTGTGGAGATAGCTTAGTTTTGCAGAGAAATAAATGTTTGATTAAATTGTGATTATGTATGTAATTTTCTTATGAGGTTCGATAATTGATCTAGAGCAGCAAGGTTATAAAATATAAAAGATTTCAATAAAAAATACAATGTTTTATTTTTCAAATTCTTTGAAATAGATTGATTAAAAGGGGATGATTAAATTTGTAAAAATTACAGTTTCTTTGTTTATTTAATGAGTTTGATTGAAATTGATAATCTGATTAAAATAATCGTTGATTATAATGGAAAAGATAAAATCAATTTTTAATAATTAATTGTATAAGAGGAGAATGAGAGTTACATAATTAAGAAAAGAAATATAAAAATAATAATTATATAAATCAAATTTAGTTGAAGAAACAATTTATGATGAACATGGAATCTCTCAGTTTTAGTTGTATTAGACCACATACGTTTTTTTCTAAAACATATTTCTTAAAAGTAATGGAGGATGAAGTATAGATATCGGCTGTAAATTCTTGATCACAATATTCAGTTTAGCAATTACTAGAACCCAAAATATCGAATAGAACTTAAATTAACGACATAAATTTTATGGAAAATGGGAAAGCAATCATTAAAAGCCTTTGGAATAATTTACCAGAATAAAATTAAATATTTTGAAGCCTAATAGATACATCTTGAATCCTTAAAAGCAACTATTGGAGCCAAAGTTATTTACAGGAACATGGCATCATTTTATGAACCAGTTGAATTTATAGGAGAAGGATTGTCAGCCAAAGTAAATCCAATTATTAATTTAGGTATTCTAAAGTATTGAGAAGAAGACCAAAAAAGAAGTGGCTGTGAAAATGATAAAATAGGAATTTGGAAGAGAAGATCAAGCTTTGGTAAGTAAACTAAATTGATTTTATGTTTTTAGGACATTGTCAAAACTGAAGTATCAATTCTAAAGTCACTTAACCACTAGAACATTATAAAGGTACTTGAAGTTTATGAAAACGATCAAACTTTTTGGATAGTTCAAGAATTTGTAGCAGGCACTCCATTAAGTCAAATATTAAAACAAAAGCTTCCAATCCATCAAATTAAAACAATTATGATTGTAATATTAATAAAAATAGGAATAGGGGTTATTGTAAACAGTTTGTTATTTATAATCTTAAAAAATTGTACATAGAGACATAAAACCAGAAAATATCATAATATAAAAAGATAATTCAATAAAAGTTATAGATTTTGGATTTGCAGCAAATTTAAAGTTTGGATCGGTTAGCAGTGTGTGTGGTACTCCAGGATATTATGCTCCAGAAGTATTGAGATAGAAGGAATCAAGTTTTAATTCAGATATGTTTAGTGTTGGGGTTGTTTTATTCAATTTGTAAAGTATTCTCTTAACTAATAGAATAACAAATCAACCCATGTTAAAATCAAAAATGTATAATGCCTAATAATATGTTGCTGATGAAGAAGCAGCAGATCTTTTGAAGAAAATGTTAGAAGTCGATCCAATTAAACGTATTACTGCTTAGCAAGCTTTGGAGCATCTATATTTCAAAGATGAAATGGAGAAAATTATTGATGAAAAATAAATCAGCTTATTTCCATCCGAAAAACAAATTCCAATGTAATAGCAGTAGGTAAATATTCAATAGTATCAAATTAGAAAATTAATAAATGCCCAGTTGCAAAAACAATGAAATCTCTCAGAACTACCAATATTATTGACTATTGAATTTATGATTTTTCATTTCTACTATTTCTTTGCTCTCAATAATTAATATATTTCAATTTACTTTATCTTTTTAATTTAATTATTAAACATATATATTTTGTTATTAATCTCTTTATAATACTTAAAAAATTCAGTAATCCTAACTGATTAAAGCTATTATAGTTTGAACAAAAGGATTTTAGAAACCAAAATTAGAAGGAGATGTTTTAAAGTGACACAAACAAACAAAAATAATGAATATCAAAATGGTTCTGATAGCAGAACTACCATTTAAGAAAAAGATTAATACAAGACATCAAGTTTAAATTTAAACTTTTATCTAAATCTTTTCTAACATCTCAAGGAAAAAGAGAGTGATATATTAAATTTAAACTAAATAGGAATAAAAAATGAGATATCTTATATAAACGGTTCAATAGCCTATCTACTTATTAATATCTTAAAGGATAAGATAGTAAATATATCAATATAAAGTGTAATTTATTCAATACATTGCATTCATTTTAATTTCATCTTTTAGAGTAATATTTAATGAGATCGAAAACTACTATGAAAAACTCTTATTTTGATAAAGAGATACATTAAAACAGAGTGATAATTAAAATAAAACAACTAATACATTCTATAATTCAACTTCCATACTCATCAAAATTTTTGAAATAATCTACATCTTACAATTTATTTTTCTTAAGCAAGTACGGTTCTAATTACTCATTATATCTCAAAACATTCTAAAAATGATAATTAAGATAGTTGATATTCTTCTTATACTGAGATTGTCTCAAATTGTATATAACTGTACTAAAATTAAAAATCTGGTAACAATCGAATTACTATTAATAGAGTCAATTCGCTTTGAAATATTGTTAGTGTTTGCATCCTTAATATTTCTAATAAAAATAGAGATATTTTGCATTAATTTTCTAAATGATATACTAATTGCTTACCTGCTATATAATTTAATTATTTATTAATGGCATAAGAACCTAATCCATTTAGTAATAATATACAATATTATCAAGAGCATGTGACATTTATGGACACTAATTGTGCAGCAAAAGCAGGCATGGTCACTGTAGCTGGAGGTGCAATGGGATTTTTAATGGCTTTGTTCATGAATGCAGTAGAAATGAGAGACATGGATTATGGTAGAACCAAATAATCAACTCGATATGTGTTAAGAGTAAATAATAATTCAATACTAGAGAGATATAAACAAGATGTTTGGAATGGCAAAAGGGTTTGCTATTTTCGGTGCTTTTTACTCAATATTTGAATGTCAATTAGAAAAATTAAGAATTAGAGATGATGCAACTAACTCATTTCTCTCTTGTATGTTTTCATCTATGGTACTGGCTGCTGAATCAGTGGGATGGAAGGGTTTAATGATGTCAGGATTAGGTGGAGGTATGTTTGGAGGGGTTATGTATTATGTTTAGATAAAATTTATGAATCACTGATATATTTTATTATTAAAATGAAAAAATAATTTCATTTCTAAAAAAAAAATAAGGAATGGCAATAAGAATTTCAAGATTTAGATGATTAAGCAGTTCTAGAAAAAGTGCAATTGCCACCTTCTGAAGATGAAGAATAAGTAGTTTAAGAAGAATAATTAGTAGAGTAAACCAAATCGGATGAGGAAAACGAAATTGAAATTATAGAAGAAAAAGAAGTGATTAATGAATAGCCGAATGAAAAGTCCAAGAAAATTGAATGGTTAGACTCCGATATTGAGGGTGTTGATGATATAGATGATGAAGAAGAATTAATTGACGATGCTAATGAAATAGATCATGATTAAAAAACTATTTTTGTATAAGGACTTCCACTCAAAATAAGTGATAAAGAGATAGCTGATTTCTTTTCAGAATACGGGACAATTGTGTCACTTGAAATTCCTCGAAATGAGGGATCTTAATTTACTAAGAGAAGAGCATTTATTGAATATAGCACAGTTAGTGAAGCGTAGGGTATTGCTATGCTTGATCTGGAATTGAAAGGCTGTCAACTTAAATTGAGGATTGGGATATAGCAATAATAAGATAAAGGACAAAAGATGTAAAATGATAGAAGTAGAAGTAGAAGTTAATCAAAATGAAATAAACAGAATGATTTATTTATACAGTTTATATATTTCTTTAATTAATAGAGTATCATATAAATTTTTTAATTAAAAAATCATGGACTTCTTAGGAATCAAAAATAATAAATTTGTTAGGAATAAAGAACTTTATAGATAATAAGAGGAATTGTGCATGAGAGATGATTACCTATTATAAATAGATAACGACACTCATATTATTGTTCCAGAATCTCCAGATTTTAAATTCATATAAACGATAAAAAGAAAAAGAAATCATTGATTACCTTAAGAAGGAATTGAGCTCATTTTTATATTATTTTGTACTAAAATTCTAATTCTAAATATTATACACATGAAATTTCTTCTTTAAATAAGATCAGGTAATTCGTTTTGTAATCTGATGATCTGCGAAAAGCTAAAGAACACATTTTCATTAGAAGCGATCTCAAAAAAATACATTTGGGAAAGTATTCCATGTGTTCAAATGGGACTCAATTCAAAACACACATAAATTAGATACTTTGGAAATTTAAGTTGAATATTCAATAATAAATTACTCATATAAAAAAGAATAAAATTCGGGTAAAATTAAAACATCATTTACTTTTTATGCAGGTTAGTTTCCTTTATAACTTTATAATTTTATCTAAAGATCATTCGCAAATATTAGTGGATTTTCCTTAAAGCACTCTTATAGAATTTGTCAAAGGTTTTACCATCCTTTGTCTATTAGAAAGCGTAATCCTCCAACAGTATCATCAATAAACTCTCCTATCTGAGAATACATTAACTGATTTATGGATGCAATGGAGGTGGTTAAATTAACCAATCAGGCGACTCAATTCTAAATAATCTAAAAATAATTCTTCTCCATCTTTAATAACTTTAATTCTTGTAAACTTAGGTCTCTTATGTGATTTTTATAATGATGATCAAGAAAAGATATGCTCTACGAAAAATTTTACATCGTGGAGAAATTTTAAGTTGGCCAAAATTGCATCAATTCTTGAAGAAGTTTTTAGGGACAAATATATCGATTAAACGTAAATTAATTGATTTTTTTCTTGGAGTGTGATTGATTTTGTGACCTAGAGCATAAGGATTTATGTCCTCTTCTTTTCCTAGTTGTTAGACTCTTTCAATTTATTTCTATATGGTCTATTAGAGTGAGCAGCTTATTCTTATATTTCTGATATTTTTTGTTCATATTCTTCAAAACCAAATCCTGAGATGCAAGATAGTATAAACTGGATGTAAAATCAAAGATGGGCCGATCGAATCAAAAGAAATGCTATTGAGATTGGTGTACTCTTTAATAAGGATTTTAGATAAAATGTTTGGATTTCGATATAAATGTCTAAACATAAATAATTCATAATTTCTCATTTTGTAACAAGTACTTAATTGGTTGGCCTTCTTCTGAAATCAAGAATTTGCAGAAGTCTTATTTGATTTGTCTTCCATTAGCCAGCTTCTCATCATACAATTAAGGGGTTTGTCTTTTGAGAAATTTGTACAATGGATGAGTAAATTAACCATTCAATTCCACTTTCTAATAGACTTTGAATCCTTGTAATTTATCGGCAATCTGCTTATAAGTGAATGTGTGATCGCATTTAGGAAAGAGGAGCACTTAATACGGTAGAGATTTCAAATAATTCAATTGATCATTCAATTCAGGTGAGTCGATTGCAACATTAACTATGACTACTTTTTGACCCTTATATTGAGAGAGTGATTCTTCAGACTTATTAATATCGATGACATTGATTTCATGAATGGATTTAAATGGAGTTTCAACAGGAGAATCCAAAAACCATAACTTTCTTATTCCTGAATTTCCCATAATTAATTAATTAATTTTTATATTTTTCCCGTTATTTATACTTAGTATATATAAATAAATATATATATTAATTCGTTAAAGATGGACGACAAACTATACGAATTGTTCCAAAAAACACTGATAGAAAATTCGAATGTGAATATCTAGAAGATTGTATAAGGATAAGCAAGAGTGATACAATAGAATACTCAACCATTAGGTTAAAAAAATGAGTCCATTTCAATAAAAGATGTTTAGAAGAAGTTGGAAGCCATAGAAAAGAATTTAATGATCTAGGATTCAGCCAGGAAAAGGAGAACATCTCGTTATCATTCTAAAAAGTGTAGCATTAAAATTAATACTCAAAATGGGTCGGATTCTCCATCTCCATATTAATTGGACTTTGAAGATGCAAAGGAATACGAAGTTGATATTTTAAGAAAGGAGAATCAAAGACTATAAGTATGACTTAAGTAATTAATTAGGAACGCTTAGAATAATTGAAATCATAAAATGGTGATGAAAATTCAGAGGATTTGAATCGTGAAAGAGAGACTCTTCAAAAGATGAAAAAGGATTACTAAATCAAAGACGATGAATTGAAGATTCTAAATAACAAATTAGATCTCTTGGAAATTGATTTAAATAAGAAACATTCACTATTATTACAGAAATCTAAGAAACTGGAAGTTTAACAATAGACTCTATAAAAGAATGTATATTATTAGATTAATATATAATTAGGAAGAACAAATCAAAGAAAAGAGGGATTGCATTGATGCATTACAATAACAAATCAATTTAAATATTTCATAAGTGATTTCATTGAATAAGTTTTAATTATTTTATTATTTTAGAAATGAATTAAAACTAAAATTACCACAGAAACTAGGAGTTCAATTAGATGTTATTGAATAACTCATTTTATCAACCTTTAAAGAAAGACAAGTAGCTTAACAAGAGTATCTATGTTTAAGATAATTGAAGAATGTTATTAAAGATCAATAAAAAGAACTATTAAAAAAGATCTAAATCTGAATAACTTATCAATCATCATGATCCACATGAGCTTATTAAATACTTTTAAAGTACTAAACAATATTAATTGCAGAGAACTTTTATTCTTCTCTCTTTACTTATTTTAATTATTATCGCAAGGTTTGCTTTTTGCCCCCAACTGTGTTACCTAAGAGATTTGTTATTTGACTGGATAAATGCGGTAATTCAACCCTAGGATCGTAAGGTGGTTCATCTCCATCAGTAAATGAGTCTTCTAATTTCTACTTCAAAGATTTGAAATCATTAATCATACACTTGTCTACTCCGCGTATATCTGGGTCATTGGAAGGCAGCGCTTGTTTCATATCATTTCCTATGACCAAGTAAACATACAATAGAAATCCATCTAATTTTGGAGTTAGATCTTTGGCTCTTCTATCGTCTATATCTATCGGTTTATCTCCCCTGATTATGGATAGCCTTTCTGCGAGTCTGCCTATACTTTCTATGAATTCATGGAAGTTCATCTAATAGTGTTTGCTAGAATAGAGTTCATCTTTTTGAGTTATCATTGATAGTAAATAGATTAGATAGCACTCTCTTTCACTCAAGTCATCGCATATTAATTTTGATTGCACAATCCAATCCTTAAAATCCTAGACAGAAATATAATCATATCTGCACACTTATTTATCCTTCTTACTCAATTTGCATATATATTTAAATAGAGATTTCAACATAGCCAATCGATCATTGAGTATGATATCACATTTCTAATTCCATAATCTAGTCTTCCTCCACATCTAAGCCTAATCAAACTTTGCAAAGTAGTCTTAGGCTTATTTGGTCACTAGAGTTATAGCCTCAGTCATCGTGGCACAGAGTCCTTGTCTGAGAAATTTATCATTGCACATTCTTATCATTATTTCCAACAATTAACATCGTACCAATCCCTTATCAAAGGCTTATGGAAATGGCACATCCTTAGCTGCAGTTGTTGATGTGAAACTAATATCAATATCATTAGTCTTGTATCCATCCATCAATGAAGTCTAGACTAAAAAGTCGATATAGTCTTAAATCATTATGGAGGGAATAGGGGCTGCTAATGAACCAGAGGCATGATATTTGTAAACATGAAACAACTGTCGGTACAAAAGCTTTAAATTCTCTTTTATTTCTAATAATTCCGTTTCCTTCACTAATCGAGTAACTTTAGAATTCTGAAAATCAAATTCAAAGCATTCATCAATTAATTAGGGTGTGTCTGGTTAAAAATGTTTAAATATTGAATTTTCAACTGACCATCTATGTTTCTTTATATTCAAATAGGGAGAAAAATCAAATTTCGCCATTGGTTCTCTAGGCTTGCATTGTACCATTGGCATATATTTATCAAACAATTGTTATTTAATGGTGGTTCTTAAAACGTTAACATACTCCATTACGTTCCCATCAACCAGAATTTCATCATTGTACAAAAATGGAATCGATTAGATTTACATATTCTTAATATTCTAATCCATAGCTGGTTGTTGAACTCCGAGTATTGGATTAGTAAAGAAGTAGTGTATTTCCTTGTTTGGAGGACACATTTTAATAAAAAAGAACTCATTATTAAGAAAGGTCATTAATAAAGGTCGATAATCCTCAAAATCAAAATGAATAAAGATAGGCTCATTGTATAAGCTTCCAGATTTGTGAGCTGTCCATTCAAACTTAATTTCCTACCACCCTTCGCATATCCAACACGTATCTAGTTTATTTATTTCATTCACTTTCTAAACATTCATTTTAGTAGATCGGATTTTCCTTGATCTACTAAAGGGCATTACAAGAGATTCCTCTCTCCTTATTATAGTTTACTCTACTTTGGCTTCTTCCAACAATTTGAAATATTATGGTTATTTGTAGAGTTGAGTCAATTTATCCTTTAATTGTGAATGGTATACGATATTGTTAATTAGAAATCCATTGGGATTGACACACAATTCAGCTTAATTGCCTTCAAAATGAAAACCATAGATAGTTTCATTCTTTTGAAGAGCATCTGAGATGATTTAAGCTTGCGGATATGTAAATTTATTAAAAGAAAGATCGACATGTAAAAGTTCATTATAAGGCCTTGATACAGCTTTATTGATTGATTAAGCACATTCAAGAGATGCAATATTGTTGTGAGATAAATCTAAAATTTTAACACTAGTATTTTTATACATAGCTTTCCAAATAGTAGTACCAGCACTTGCATTTAGATAATTGTAACCAAGATACAATTCTAAAAGTCGTTGAGTCTATTTCAATAGATTAGAAATAGATGTACTTGCACATTCTGTGATTTAATTATTGTTAAGATTGAGTGATTATAATGTATTATTGTTGAGTAGATGTTTCATAATTATTTGCGATCCGAGATCACGAATATTATTACATTCAAGATTCAACTTGTAAATTTGATTCTTTCCTACGAATGACATCAAAATCTCCATATGCATATAATTTAATTTACAATTTTATAATTCTAAGTCTTTCAATGTAATTGGAAATGTAAGCAAGATATCTCTTAACTATTTGGGAGTAAATTGATTGTGATTCAATTACATGACTTGAATTTACCTGCTCTATTGAGTAAGCATGGCATTAGAGAAGGCATTCCCATCATCAAGGTTTCTTATTGATCTGCTAGCATTTGCAGTTACTAATGATCGAGTATTCTGAATCAAACCAAAGGTTTTAGGGACTCGTTCGGCTTATGAGAAGTTTAGACTTAAGTATAGATTTTGTGGTTGTTGTTTATATAATTTTGAATAATCTTCCAATTTCTAGGAGTACCGAACAGTCTTTAAAAAATCTTGTGTACTGATAACAGACAATTGCTTGCTTAAGATGATTAATGAAATTTTACTTGCCTTGTTTCATCTTATAAAAATAGTTAGTTCTATCATTTATGGGACTTACCATACTTGGGGATGTCTTCATCTTTAGGGTTAAAGGAGTCTTGATTTCTGCTTTAGTTATGTCTTCATTATCGATTTATTAAATGGCATGATGTTCCTTTTCTAAGAATCCTTACCAATCGTTAACTTCCATATTAAGCAATTCCTCTTAGGCCTCAAAGCTCTCATTTCTCTCTTGTTTAGATTGGAATCTCTTCTAAAAGAGTTATTTCTAATTTTTCTACTAAGAATTTCGCTGATTGGTCAAATCTGTGTACAATTCTGAAGCCTCATTCTTTTACTTAAAAACTAATCTACGATAGGCAGAAGGAGTTGAAGTACCCAAAGTTGTAAGTTCTGAATAATCATCCTTCATGCTATTATTATATATAAATAAATATATATAAAATCAAAAGTCATCCTTATTCCATCTCATTTTGTAACATTTCCTCCTCTTTTTACTTGAAGTATTAGACAACATTGGTCAATAAGAAATTTGATTTCAATTGCTTCTACTGTTGCATCTACTTTATAACCGAGAAGAAGGACAATGCTTTCTTTAATTTAGATCCTGTTTGAATTGTTTAGACTGGCACTTGTTTCAATTACTCTTCAAGTGCTGATGCTTCTATAGCTGGATTATATGGTTTTTCTTCTTCCTCACTCCCCATCTCCTCTATTTATTGTTGCAAGGTCTTTTGCTTTCTGGTCATACACTTATCAAAATCAGTAAAATCTTCAGCTTCCTTCAATTGCTATTTGATAGCATCTCCAGCCCTCAAGTAGATGAGGAGTAAAAAGGCATCAATCTTCTTATGGAGGGGTTCTTGTCTCCTGTCATCAATGCTCAAGATGTCCTTAGTTCTAATCAAGGATAGTTTCTCAGCACACCTACACAAGGCTTCAATAAATTCATAGAATTCCATTTGAAAATGTCTCAGACTAAACAGCTCATCTACTTGAGTTTGCATTGATAACAAATATGCCAAATAGGCATCTCTTTCAACAAAGATGTCACAATACAAATCACATCTGAGCATTAGATCTCTGAAATCCTTGAATTGAATCCAAGTGTGTTTATAGAATTTCTACTTGGGATTCAACTTGGATGTAAATTTAAATAACAATTTAAGCATGGGCAATCGATCCTCTATATTATTTAGTGTACTTTCTTACTTATTAACATGTCACTCTGTTCATTCCACAATCTCATATCTCTCCAATCCTGAGCTCGATCAATCTCTTGCAATCTGGCCTTAACCAAATCATCCTCAAATAATTTCAAGACACTTAATTTCATTGATTTACATATTCCCGTTCGTGTATACTTATCCAAAGCAATTCTTACGAGCACTTCCATAAATTGGTATCTTACTAATGCCTTCTCATAAACATTTGGATATTGAATGTCCTTAACATTTGAAGTCGAGATGAAATTCAAATCAATGTCTCCTGGTCTGAATTTGTCAGTCAATACTGTAGTCTAACCGATAAAATCAAAAAAACGCATTCGATGATATGCAAGGGAATCTATACATATAAATCAACTATTTTACACTGGCTCCGATTAGAGTGGAAGCATAGAATTTATAACTAGCAAAGATATACGGATAATATTCCCTCAAGATTTCCTTTACTTCCATCAACTCTTGAGGATCACGGACTATCCTGTTTATTTTCGAAGTCTGAAAATCGTATTCAAAACATTCATCAATTAATTCATCATTATCTGGCTGATAGTTTTTGAATATTGAAATTTCATAACTCCAAAATGCCTACTTTTTATTCATGTATTAAGTTAAGTCGTAAGTTCTCTCCTCCTCTCTCGGTTTACTGAATATCTTCGGAACATATTTATCAACCACAGTGTGTTTGCCTTCAGTGAATACTTCATTCACAAATGTCATCTTGTTACCCTCAATCAAGATGTCTCCATTGTAAAGGAATTCCTACAAGCCCTTGGGCAATCGGATCATTGGCTGGAGTTTGCATGATCATCTAATTTTTTGCAGTTGTTTGGATCCCCAGTATTGGATTACTGAAGAAATACAGAATCCTTTGATTGGGTGGACACATTCGATATAAATGATATTCTCCTTGATGAGGATTCATTAGAACAGGACGATATCCATCGAAATTGACATGTAAGAAGATAGGATCATTGTTCATACCACCTGATTTGCCTGGACTCCAAGTGAATTTTACTTCCTCCCATCCTTCACATATCCAACAAGAATCCCGTTATTTATCAAACTATTGATTCTATTTGACTGGTTTCATTCCCCAAATTCTTCTAAATCGATGAACCTACTGAATCTCTTCCTTCTTGTGAATCGTCTTCTTTGGCTAAACAACCACATCATCATCCAGTAATCTGAGTGAAGTTTATGGGTTTTTCCTGCATTCCTCGATTTTCTTCTATCTTGTTTATTCTTCCGAATCCCTGTCTCTGAGATGGCCAGTAGCATCAACTGCAAATTTGGGACAATTCCCTTCATAATGGAATCCATAAATATTTTGATTTACATTTAATGCCTTCATGATTTCGATTGAAGATGGCTCATCAAAACCGTTATGCGATACATCTATGTGCATCAACTCAGGATATGGTTTTGCAATCACTCTGGCCATCTATTGAGCACACTCAAAGGAGGCTGTTCGATTGTAAGAGATGTCAAAGACCTTCACACTTGAATTCTTGTATAGAGCTTTCCATATATTGACACCTCCCTTGCTGTTGATGGAATTAAAGTGCAGATACAATTCAAACATTACATTTGACTTTTTCAAATAATTTGCTAAATCATTAGTACAGTTGTCTAAATTAGAATTATAGTAGAAGTACCTGTCAAATTGTTGCGACTTAGATTCAACAAAGTCAAGTAATCATTATCTTGCAAAGCCACGAAGAGATAATTGGCACCTAGGTCTCCTATTTTATTGTTTTCCAAGGAGAGCTTCTTCACTCTTGATTTCTGCATGTACTTGGCCAAGGTTTCGCAGGATTTGGAATCCAATCCATTGTTATTCAGATCCAGATCCTGAATTTGTTATGGAAAATTTTCAACCAAACTCTTGATTTTAGGAGAGGTTAATTGATTGTGGCTGAGTTTCAATTGCGTGATCTATTTACATTGAGGAGATTAGAGAGCTTCTGTGAATACCCTGATTTTAGACTCGTTCCTCAGCATTCCTTGGGATTCAGCAGTTTAGATGGTGTAATTGGAGTTGATCAAGCCAAGGCCAGATTGAAAGATATTGTAGACTGAGACTCAATATAAATTAATACCTTGAGAGCTCTTATTTAATTGCAGATAGATGTTGGGTTGTTGTTTATAGAACTAAGCATATTCTTCGAGCTTCTTAAAATTTTTGGTAGTGCTTCTAAAATCCTTTTGATTTATCTTCTGTAGGTTTTTACTATTCATGTAGGATAAAAGTAACTTACTTCCCCAATCTATAATTTTTCAGAAACTTTCCCTCGATCTGATAAATCATCGTAAGGCTGATCCAGACGATCCTCATAGAGGTAAGGCTATTGTTTCTTGAGATCTTCAAGTTTTGTAGGCGCGATGAGCGTAGCCCCTCTTCTTTATGGCCTTTGGATTTGGTTTGGTTAATGATGTTTACGATTTAAGGGGCGAACTGGACTAGCTTCCTCTTTAGTGGCAAGCCTTTGTGATAGGACTTAGGCTTCTTCGTTTAGTTGATCGATAAGTTTCTGATCTCCTTGGTAAAGATCATACATGGTTTCCATCCTAAGGTTCTATTGCATTTCCTTCAGATCCTCGTTGTCATTGTAGCGAGCAGTATGCATCTGCATCCTCTGTCGAATGGGTATCTCTGTAATCCGAGTACATGAATTCATATTGGTAGATGGCATTCGCATTTTCACTATGTCAAGTTGCGATTTAACAATGGGAGACTTTTGATTAAGGCCAGTCCACGTACTCCGTAAGCTCGTTTGCCGCACTAGATAAGGGCTATGTCGTAGTACCGATCTTCTATTTTTCTGGCTCCTTATTTTGGGATCCCATTTGTTCCTCCTGTTCTTGTTGTCTGCGAACTTCCCGTAACTTCTCCAACAGTTTGGCTGGAGTGTTGTAGATCTTGAGTTTCTCAAACAACATAATTTTATTAATGAAGTAAATTGGACATTATACATACGATGAAATAAATTGTCTTTGATAAGGTCTATGAAGGATTCCACACTCTCAACGACGAAATAGTTGCCATCAAACAATTAGACTTGATCATCCTCCAAAAGGACAAGTAATTAAACAAACCAATAGGTACCACACCAATTCAAATCAACTAATTGCAGAGGATAGAAATCATGTGTAAATTGAGTCACAAGAATATTGTCAAACTTTTTGAGCTCTTGAATAACAAGAAATCCTTATTGAATATGTCTGAAATGTGTTTTAAGCAGATATCTTAAACTATTGATCGAAAGCAAGTTATTAGTGAGTATCAAGTAAACTCTTCATTCTATAGCCTAGGCTATCGATATTATGCTCCAAATACTAGAAGGTTTCAAATGATTAATCAAGAGCGGCGTTATTCATCTAGATATGAAACCAGCCAAAGTTTTCAGATATAGTCATTGTCAAATTTACTAATTTTGGAATTGCTAAATATGTTGAGAATTATTCATCCCAATTACTTATACCTGAAGTTGGAAGTCCAGTTTATATGGTACTTCAAGTAATAGAAAAGATAGCATTACAGTACTAAATGTGATATTTGGTCGCTCAGAGTTATTTTTATTGAAATTTTACACTTCGATGTAATCTTTTATCCCATCTACAATACCTTGAAAAGAGATGGATGGAGTAGACCTTTTACTAAACATCAAAACTTAATATTTATAATTCAAAAATGAACTCAAAACGTTTTCAAAACAATATCTTACCATGGTAGTTATAATATTATCTATTATAGTCTTTTGTAATTGAACAAGAAAATAGAGCTTCGTTGCATCAAATATTGATCTATCCAATAATTGTGGGTTATAGAAGACATTCTCTGCTAAAGATATCAACGAGGTAAGCAATTACCGACTTGGATTCAAAGACCTATCATTTTATAAAAATTACCCCAAAAAAGTAGGATGAGCATAAAATACAAAAAATTAGATGAATTAAATTTAATTGAGAAAATAGAATAGCTCATTTACCACTTTTTAAAGGAACAGAATACCTATGTTGAAAAATTTCGTAGAAATAATGTATAGTATTTAAAAATAAATAAATTAATTTGAATTAGAATATTGTTAAAGAATAACAAATTTGAGTTTGGTATTGTGAAGTTTAAAATAGACTAGCATCGATTTGTATGAAAAATTCTCATTTCAAAAATTGCTTTTGAAATTTCAAGACTAATTCAACAGTGAATACATTGAATGCATAATTATTTGTAAAAGTAGATTGATTTAAAAATTGGTTGTCTTTCAATTAAACCAAACGATAAGTAAATAAATGAAGCACAGAATTAATTGAAAACACGTAATAATTCTAATATAATTATTGATACATGAGATAAGCTATATAAATTTATTAGATTTGATAAATAATTATAATAAAATAGCTTGATTTTGTATAATATAGAAATATCATAATTACAATTACATTAATTTCAGTCAATGTGCTTCAAATTCACCCTGTTTATGATACAACCTCCAATCTAGAATTATTTTAACTCAAACTTATTATAATTAGAATGATCTAATATTGATTATTAAATTTAAATATAAAATGGCTTCTGCAAATTAACAATTTTCTTTTTTCCAAGAATATGCCCTTAAGAAAATACAGTTTGTGGTGGACAATATTAGATACGAGTTTGATAACCATAAAATGTTATGGTCAACTGATGTTATTGAGGAAGATGATAATCCAGATGATGAGGTGAATAAGGAACAACTGAAAAAGAGAGGATTAAAATAAATAGAGTTGAGAGAATAAGTAAGATAGAATGAACACACCATTTCTAAATTAGCATCAGAGATTCAGTTGCTGAATGATAATATAAATAAATATTAAGAAAAATTATAACAAAGTCAAGCAGAATAGAATCAATTAATAGATGAGTACATTCATGAGCATTTAGAAACTGAGAAGATTAAGGGTGCCAGAGAGAGATTGGATAAACTCAAACGTGAGTTGGGACTATGAATATAATAATTATAATGAATAATATTATCGATTTTATAAAATAAAATGGCAGTCCATTTGAAACTTTAGAACTTGACATGACAGCAGATAAAAAAGAGATTAAATCGCAATATAAAGAATTAGCCAGAAAATATCATCCTGATAAGAATTTGAATACCAAAGAGAAATTCATTAAAATTTAAAAAGCCTATGAGTTCTTAATCCACAATTTAGCAGATATTCATAAATACGTTGAGCATTAGAAATTCAGATAATAAGAACAAAAGAAAATGACTAGTGAATAGAAGTAATATGCGGAAGATTTAAAGAGAAGAGAACAAATGGCTGAGAGGTAGAAACAATAGGAAGATATAGTAAAGTAGATGAGAGTGAATGAAGAAGTATTAATGGCTAATATTTTAGATGAACAGACTTGAGGAATAGAGAAAATTTGAAGAGAATGAGAAGAAGTAGAAGCAGGAGAAATTAATTTAATTTGAGTTGCAAAATCAAGATCTGTATAAGAGATTAAATACAATTAAGATCAAGTGGGCAAAAGATTAATTGTATACTCCTGATTTGTTGAGTTTGTTATTCAAGAACTACGGTGCTATTCAGGAGATTAAGGTTCAGGATAATAAGAGGAAAGCAACTATCACTTTTCATACGACTGAAGCAGCTGTAAACATATAAATAAATTTAGAATAATGCAGTGATTCAATAGAGTGATGGATTTTTGAAGGTTAAGCATTTTATGAAAAAAGAAAAGAGACAGTAGGTTCAGAAACAATTGCAAACAGAGAAGGAGATGATCAATAGGAATGATCAAGATGTTTATCAACTCAGTACTGATACTTTGAATAGGATTTCACATTTTTATAATAAGGATTCTAAGATTAAGGAAGGGTTGGATGAACTTAAGAGGGAGCAGGAGAGATTAAAATTAATAAATTAGATTTATGAAGAGGAACTAAATAAATGAGTCTGATTTTGTATTGTCATTTATATGATTATTGATTTAAAGAGGGTGTTTGATTGCAACTTTGATGAATGGGACTTAATATTAATTAATAATTAGGTTTATAGTATAATAATTAAAAAACGTATACGATTATGGATTAGTAGAGATTTTAGATATCTTATCCCTAATTGTAAAGCATGTTTGACACAGGCAACTTGCAATCTGGTCAATCGACTGAAATATTAGATCAAATAGGGTAAGTTGTAATGTAAATAGAAGGGGTGTTGAATAAATTTTCAGGAGTTTGGAAAGTGATCCCAAAAGTGGAGTGCAAGATGTGAGCGATAGAGTAGAGCAATTTGGTAGTAATAAGTTGGATCCACCTGCTTTATCTCCCTTCTATATGTGCATGTACAAATAGAGCAAAGATTTCTGTATTCGAATATTAGCACTTGCAACTGTAATAATGTTTCTGATGGCTTTATTCTCTGAAGAACCATTCGAATAGATAGTGTAAGCATTTTCAATTCTTATTGCAATTTGTGCAGTGGTGATTATTGGAGCGTTGACTGACTATAGAAAGGAAAAATAATTTAGACAATTGTATTTGGAATAGGAAGAACAATAGAAGAAACTATTTTAAGTAGTTCGAAATGGAGTGATCTAATAATTGAATCATCTTGACCTTGTTGTAGGAGATATCATTACAATTAAACCAGGAGATAATGTGACTGTAGATGGAATACTCATTGATGGTACTGAGACAGTAGAAGTGGATGAAAGTATGATAACTGGTTTAACTGATTCATTATCTAAATAACCTATTTCAAGAGGCAAGAATTGTTTTATAAGAGGAGGTAGCAATATTTTTGAAGGAACAGCAAAAGTGATAGTTTTAGCTGTGGGTAAATTTACGTATTCAAACAGAATGAAGAATGATAATTAAATTAAAGAAGAGGGGGAAGAGGAATTGATTCATGATGAACGATCTCCATTGTCAAAAGCATTAGAAACATTGGCTAAATTCTTAGTCTTCATTGGTTGCATGAGTGCTTTAGCCATGTTCATTATTTTGGAATTGTATATGGTCAGAGAACTTTAAGAATTGCAAGAGAAAATATTCTCTTAATTTACTTTAAAGAAGGTCTTATCAGATTTTATTGATGCATTCCTAATCATAGTACTCTCTATTCCAGAAGGATTGCCATTAATTGTGACATTGTCTTTGGCATTTTCGATTGCCAAATTGAGATAACAAGATATTGTGATTAGAAATTTGCATGTTTGTTAGGTGTTGGGAGGTATTGACACTATTTGCTTTGATAAAACTGGAACATTAACTTATAATAATCTCAAGGTTAGTAATGTTCACATAGCAAGTGAAGAAAGATATCATAATTTAAGATCTAATGATCCTATTTTTAGAATGCTAGCTGAGGCAGTATTATCTACAAATTCAGCCTTTTTATCAGAAGATATTATTAATCAAATTAAATAGGGTGAGCAAGAAGAGGGTCAATCTGAACATAGTGGGAAATCAAATAAGAAATCTTAAAAATCAAAGAGTTCTTCTTCAAAATCTATTAAATCTAATAGTGTTTTCGAGGCAACCATAAAAAGCGATTGGAGTGGTAATAGATTGGATGTTGCTTTAATTGATTATGTGGAATTGAAACTGAAAAGGGAATTCGTCTATGAATATTTATAGGATCTAAAGAATCAGATAAGAAAAACTATTCCAATTAATAATTATGGATTCCATACTGAAATTTTATAGATAAGAGGTGATAAATACAGGATCATTCTGAAAGGTAAATCCAAAGAAATCATTGAAAAATGCACTTAAATCAATATCTCAATTCCAGATAATAGGGATTTCGAATTATATGAGCCAGGACAATTCAAGTTGCAAGAATGTTGTAATCAAGTTATGAACTAAGAATTTTCGGAATTAGAAAAGAAAGCAGTATTAAATTACAATTCATAATCACTAAAAACTATATCATTTGCATATAGAGATGTTTAAATAAACAATTTGATTGAATAAGATTGGAATCAATTAATCTCTTAGAATAACTTTACTTATATTGGAACGATAGCTATGAGAGATGACATTAGACAGGAAGCTAAGAGATTAGATAGTGCTTTGAAGATGGGTAGTATGAGTGTGATGATACTGACTGGAGACACTAGAGTAAATGCAGTTAATGTAGCCAAACAATTAGGATGGGTAAGTAGTGATTAAGCAGACCATGAAATATAAAGAATAAGCGAACATTTACCAAAATCTTCTCAAATGGAATAACCTAATATCATTGAACCACCATTTATCAATAACGATGAATAATAAGCAATCAAGATTACATCAGCAATAATGGAATGTCCACAAGATGAAATTGCTCCACTCTTGAATAATAAATTTGAGCAATAATAAAATCCATCATCAGCTGCGCTAAAAACTATATTGATTTTGAATTTCTAAGAATATGTAATTAGAATTAGAAAGATCTTAAACGATTCTAAAATCTATTATACTCATTAAGAAGTTAATGAAAGAAACATAGTATCTAAAATTCCTGAGATTCTGGATGATGCCATCGCAAGCAAGGTATTATTTTTACATTTAAATCTAGTCAGTTTCAAATATGAATAAAGTATTACAAATTTTAGCAGATCTCAATTAACATTAAAAGCATCAATTTTTGGAGGTGTATTCCAATATCAATGAATCCACTATTGGATATGTTGGAGATGGTAACAATGATGCTATTGCTTTGTAAACTGCAGCTGTAGGAATCACATTAGGAAAGACTGCCACTAACATAGCTCGAGAATGTAGTGGAGTGATCTTGATGGATGATAAATTAGATGGTATAGAACTCTGTATGAAATACGGCAGAAACATCTTCTTAAATATCAAAAGATTCATCTATTTCTAATTGAGTTTCTTTTTGAACTCAATTGCCATCATGCTTACTGCCTCCATTGTTTTGAAATAATAACCGTACACTGTCCTAGAAGTCATTTGGTTGAGCTTGTAATTATAAAATTTCATTATTAGAGTACAAGATATATTTTCAGCTGTCGCCCTTAGTACTGAGATACCTTAGGATGATATCCTAAATAGAACTAAACCTGCTAAAAGAGGAGAAAACATCATAGACAAGTTTCTATTATAAATGACTTGCACATAAGCTTTATTTCAATACTTGGCTACTTTGATTGTTCTCTTTTTAACTCCGTTGATTTTTGGCATTGAGTAATGTTATTTATTTATAAAATAGGCCTTCTTACAATCATGATTTACATGCATTAGGAGCAGAATTTGTTTCTGAATGGGCTGTTCATTATACTCTTGTCTATCATTTAACTGCTAATTTCTAGATTGTCAATTTAATATGCAGTCGTAGAATTGGATAACATGAATACAATGTCCTTGAAGGTATCCAAAAGAATAAACCATTTACGGTGATGATTATTGGCTTGATAATAATTCAATAGGTTATCATTTATGCTGGAGGCAAGTACTTTAAAACTGCTCCTTTAACTATATTTGAAAATCTGTTTTGCTTAATTTTATCTTTTGGAGCCATGATTGTCTTTTGGTTGTCTAAATATTTCTATTCAACTACGAAATGAGATATCAATATAGAGATATATGTAAATAAGAAAATTAAATTTAATTTATAATCAATACACAACATATTACTTAATCTCGACATTATTCAATTATTCTTATTTCAATATCTCGGAAGAGAGTTGTTCTTCCCTTCTTATAAAAATTAGACTGGCAAATAAGATTAATGAGACAAAAAATTAAGACACAATCACCCATGCTTGGAGATCGTAATTGTTAATTGCCGACATCAAAATTATTGACAGCACAATTAATGTCAATCCTGAGACTGCAACTGAAATAATGGATATGTAGTTGAAATTTATAGTATTCCCTGGCAAATTCGATTGTTTCAATAAACACATTGTTAGTGCTATCACAATTAAAACTAAATCAATAATTGTAATAGGATAGGCAGCTAAAATCGTATTACATACATATTAATCCTGACAATCTGATGAATTAATTCTTTCTTTATACAGCAATTTATTATTGAGCCTGCATCTCTTATACCCATCATATTTTAATTTGCATTCCAACTATTCCCCATAATACTCCTATTTTGAAAATTGATAATTTGAAAATAACAAAATAATCAACCACACACCAGCACTTGCCAAAAAAACAATTTGCAATGTCGTATTTGTTTTTGGATTTATCCTATTAATGTATGAATTCATAAAAATTTTATTATTACAATCAATACTATGATGTAATTACTTAAATTTAATACCATAGAATGCACTCATTTTGATAAACATATTTAATACTAATTCCAAAGTGATACCAAAAAGAGATAGTTCTTAAGATAAGTCATTGTACTAAACCAGAAAAACCAATATGAAACGAGAAGAAGATTTATATTGAAGTTCAATATGAAAACCTTGGCTCAAATCAGAATTGCCTATACTTAATCTAATAATGCATTAAGATTCCCAACGAAGAATGAGAAGAAAGTGGAAGATGCACATCAATATATTAACTGAAAAAATAGGGGAAGTATAGAAAAGGATGAGAATATGACTCAACAAATATAATAGGGCCCAAGATAAATCTACAAAATGGAATACAAAAATAAGATTATTAAAGATTTATTTACTAAAATCAGAAATTATCAGATTCCATTTATAATTTAATTTGTTAATTGCATCTAAAAGGAAAGGTGAAGCGGACTATATATTTTATCTAACTTAAACCTCATCAGACTTGATCTATTGACACCATTTAAGAAGTAAATATGTAATTTTTGATTTAGTTTTAGAAATTAATTGTCCTCAAATAATTATTTAATATTGGCAAACAGAATTTACCTATTTTTTGAACTAGCTGTTAGGATGGGTGAACTTAAGTAAATAACATTTTATTCTAGAACCTTTAGATCTTAAATTTTACATCCTCAATTGATAAAAGACACGGAAGATTTAGAGTATAAGTTTAAGGAGAACAGATTAGATACACATCTTTAAGAATATTTTATTTTAAAATTTTTCTTTTTTCTAATTGTTTTGTTCATTCTTACCTGACCTACACTTAAATTAAACTGAGCTGAGATTACAGAATTTTCAATCCTTCTTTTATAACCCTTAAATTTTTTAGTTATGCTTAGATTAATGGAGAAAATCTGAACTTTTTTGTTGTTGTTAATTTCAATTTATTATTAAATTTTTCTTTTCTATTTTTTCACATGTTTCAATCTAACTTATTAATTCATAACTTTTGTTATAAGGAGATTGGTTGAAAAATAGAATATTAAAACTCAATTGTGTTTTAAACACATCATTTTCATAAATGATAAACAGTATGTTGTACAAACCATATGCCTATTTAGCAGTGTTTGACTATTGTATGAAAAAGGTTGAGATTCATCTTTATTTGAGTTGACCGTTCTTGACTTTTTAATATCAGACTGGAAATTAAATTCGATTATGTAATTAGAAATCAAAATGTTTTAGGAAGATTAAATATTTTAATTTGACTTAAGAGAAAAGATCAGTTGATACGATTTTTTCGAGTAGCAAAGAATAAGTCAGCTCAAATTTAAGAATAAAAAAAGTCTGATTATAAATAAGTATTGGAAAAAATAAAATATCAAAAAAATACAGATTAAATTAGGAGCAAGAAAAGAATTAGAGACCTGATTAATCATTTGAAACTAAATTACAAAAAACTAAAATAAATTAATGGAAACCTCACTTCGTTAGAATCGAATAAAATGTCTTAGAAAATGTTCAAGAAGTAGGACTAAATTTGGATACATTGATTTTTGCAAGCTGGAATCAGTAATAATCTTAGAAATATAAGGAAAAATAAACACAAATTAAAGTGCGAAAATGTCCAAAGAATTTTGTTCATAAGACTATGTCCACAGAATAATAATTCTCTAGACAAATAAATAATTTTCAAAAAATCATTGATTTGCCAGTTTCCATTTCTACTTTTGGATAAAATCCTCTTGTAAAAATAGAAAAAATTTAGAACATTACAATGGTCTAGAATTCTATAATTTGTTCTTCCAAAGACTTTATGATAAATCATTTTTATAGGAGAATTTCATAAAAGATGGAGGACTTTTGAAGCAAATTTTTTCCATATTTAAAATGATTATTGTTTTTAGAACCTAAATTTCAATATATAAGTTTTGGAATGACCTTAAATTAGGATTTTAGGTTCTCACAATATCAATTTTAAGTTAAAAACTATTTATTTCAAGGTAAGTATTAAATTATATCATTGTTGTTTTTAATTTATAATATTAGTTTACCAAAACACACTCTTTCCTACAAACACAAATTGTAAAAAATTTCCTGAATTGATCATAGTAGAAATGTAAAATGACAAAAACTTGACCCTTGAGGAATTGAACCTCGAGCTTCCAATTATGAGTTGGTTGCACCACTATTGTGCGAAAGAATCAATATATAATAGCCATCCAAAGATTAAGTGAGAATATAAAATTTATATATCTAGGCTATGATTTAGATGTCTCAATCTCATTAAATTATCTAAGATGATCAAGAGTTCTTGAATTATTTTGTATATATATTTTGGTTCTAAGTAATTTAAGAATGCTTTTGGTTGCTTTAATACATAAAAATAATTATTGAGATAAATATTATAATAGTAGTGATTTAGACTCATCATTTCCCTTATTTTGAACTATAAATTATTATTTTGGAGAATTCATTAATGAAAGGATAAGAAATATGTTAAGCTAGCCCTCCTAGCTCAGTTGGTCAGAGCGTTGGCCTTTTAAGCCAAATGTCAAGGGTTCGACCCCCTTGGAGGGCGGTTCTTTTTTATTTTTTAATTATCATAAATTAAATGTAAATACAAGCTGTAATTATCAAACAATTATCGATTTTACTACTATTTAATATAAAATAACGCATATTGAACTGAAAGTATTTGTATATTCAAAGCATTCTACCATTATTAAAGTAATTCAAAAATATATGAATTATCAAATGGTTTCCAATACAAATAATTATTATTAGAGATATTATAAAT